GGTTAGAATGCCATATAGCAGGCTCAAGGTTGACTCAACCTTCCATCCTTCCGAGGTGAGTAAAATGAGGACCCAGATTGTTGTGGGCAATAGGCTGACTGTAAACTGCTTAGAGAGGGCTGTAAAGCACTGTGAAGCGGTATATAAATCTAACTGCTATTGCTACACTATAGTAAAATCCATTTCAAGGCCCTATCCAAGAAGCAGCAATAATCCAGCATCAAAATCTACTCTTCACCATCAGCTCCCAATGCTTATTCACAGAGAAACACCTTAAAGTCCCTACAGCAAGGAGTTCTTTTATACAACTAAGGTTAATGTATCCGTGTGCCAGAGCCCTCGATCTTGAATGCTTCAGCTAGCGCTTGCTAACTAAGTGCAAAGGGCTTGCTACTGTTCCCAACACAACAGTTGATCCTGGAATGTGTCTATAAACTAAAAGAACTACCAGCAGATTTCAGCTCTTTTTCCATAACAAAATGTTGGGTTTGGAATTGCTGTCTTAGGCTGGAGGAATTATGGACCATAGGAAAAGAATGCAAAGGCCTTTAGGTGGTTCTGGGAGTAAATTAGAGGTGCAAAACAAAAGGTACATCTAACTGGATTTCACATTTCAAGCTCTAAAAGGCTTAAAACCAAGATACTCTGAGACGGGGGCAAGCAATTAATTTTCCCAAGAGGCCAAATGAGAAACTGGGACTTTTGTGGAGGGCCGCCACTGCCCCCACCACACCATGGGCTGGACAGGGACTACTCATGGGCCAGATGTGGCCTGTGGGCCATAAAAGGCCCAGGTCTGCTCTAAGGGCAGCTTGTTTCTGGGCCAAGCTACAACACTGCAATGGTTTGCCTCAGAGGCCATTCTCTGAGTCGTACTTTAGATGCTAGATTCATTTCAAAGGCTTTCAAGCATGTTGTTTACTCAGAATTCCACAACAACCTCCGTGGAACCCTTCTCCAACACTTAGGTCTACTATTCTCAGGAGCTTTAAAGCAGAGTATCCAATTGGTGTCCCCATCCCAGGTCTGTCTGTAGTTCTGACAGCCTTTCAGAAATTTGTGCCAACTTATACAATGATTAAACACACAAGTATTACCGATTTTAGTTACGTTAACTGTAATGCCAATTTAATTTAATTTAGTTTTTGTTCTGGTCCTTCCCAGTATAACCCCAGCATGCTATTAGAAGTCCAAGTACGGCCTTCGGGCCCCAAAAGATTGCATGCCCCTACCTTAAACCATGCATTTGCTAGGACCCATCATACTTCAACCTTCATGCATAAGACAGCAGTTTCATAGGCAAAGGGTTTTTACGTTCTGTGCCTTGTACGAGTCTTGTGGGAGAGGATTTCACAGCTTTTGGTCTACAAAACAACCAGTGGAGAAGCGAAGGCCTCCACCAGGCTGTGTGGGAAAGGGAAGATAGGCCTCCTGGGCCCAGAGTTAACAGAATAACTGTTGGATGAACTACCATTCCCCAAATAAATGTTTTTTTTGGAGTAAGAACTTTTCCTTTACAACATTTGTGGCTTAAATGCATTATACGAAGTGACTACAAGCTTGCAGCCAGTAATTTAGTCAGTTACTTAAAATCAAATCTGTGGTTTCTTGCCTTTAGAGGTCTTGGCCATGTGCCTCCTTTTTCTTTCTGACCTAATCATATCATATCATTTGCCTTCTCCTTTCCATTCGCCTTCCTGCACGGATCTGCGCTATTTGCTCTCCCAAATTCCCCTCAATCTCTCTCCTTTCCAGCTGTCCGCTTCCTTAATCGGGCATTTCTTTTCCCTTTAGTCCTTTGCCAGAAACTGAGCAAACCAGCCAGTGGCAGCCAATGACATTGCCACCTGACCCTCTTCACTGGGATATTAGAGGGGTTCAATTAATCACCAGAAGAGGCCGTGTCCAAATTGTGCAGTACAAATGATCTCACAGGTGATTTTAATTTTAAAAAATCTCTTTAATTAGATTCTCCAACCCCTTCCCTTGACAATTGCACAATTCTAAGCACCACAAAGCCTGAAATGATAAATGATACCCAGGAAGAAATATAAGCATTTGCAAGTCTCATGAGATGCCTCAAACCGTATACACGGATGAAGAGTTTTGATTTCAAAACCCAGGGAAACCCTTACTGATAACACTCCTAGACAATGGGTTTGTACTCACACCCTATCAGAAAGAGCAGAGAAAAGAGAGCTAGGCTACTCCCGATTGTTGAAGCCCATAGGCTTAATAAAATCTCTCTCTCTCTCCCTCCTCCCCTCCCTTCCTCTCCATGAAACCAAATCAGGTATTCCCTCCATCCCACAGAGTGAATTTGGAAGTAAAAATAAGCCATAATAATAATTAAACTTATAATAATAAGTTGCCATTGACTTTGTGGGCCAGGCCCAGGTCACGTGTCTCTCTCACTCTCTATCAGATATAGCTGGTGATTTCAATTTTCAGGCATGCATTGGTCTACTCTACCATCAGCCTGCTTTCCACTATGCTTGCTAAACTACGAGAGGGAACTATTATATTAAAGATTACTTTTGATGGCTGAGGTCATGTACTGGGCTAGTCTAGACTAGGTACAATGTCATTGGGCAGTCTGTGGTTCAGCAGAGTGAAAATCCAATGACCGTCTTGTATGTCGTTGAAAAAGGCCACAGAGTTAAGCCACAGGATATTATTTGTTTGGACAGAGCATGTTATGCAAGCCTAGCAGTTTAATTAATTCAAATTTAGAACAAGTTTAGCTTACACAAAAACTCAAGCTCAATCCAAAATATTTCAGCTTTTAAAAAGCCGACTCATATGGGTTACTTATTTTAGGCACTTCTGGTTTTATTGCAGTAACTAATATCGGTTTTTGTTATGATTTGTATTACATATTAACAAACACAAGGACCTGAGTTCTGATTTGATAAATAAATAAGTCTTAAAACACGCTTTACAAAATCTCATTATAATATTCAGGAAACCAGGGATGAAATGCTACCGGTTTGGGCCGGTTCGCCTGAACCGGTAATAAAAAATTGTAAAAAAAAAAAGTTCTGACAATCAACTGAGCGACGCGCAATCATGGAATTTTTTTTTGTTTTAACTTTTTAAGCATTTTTTTTACTACTGGTTCAGGTGAATAGGTAGTAAAAAATGCTTTAAAAAAGTAAAAAAAAAAAAAGGCTCAGACAATCGCATGGCATAGCTGTGATTGTCCGAGCCTTTATTTTTTACTTTTTTAAAGCATTTTTTTACTACCTATTCACCCGAACTGGTAATAAAAAAATGCTTTAAAAAGGTAAAAAAAAAAAAAAGGTTCCCAAGATCACAGCTGTGGCGTGCGATCTTGGAAACCTTTTTTTTTTTTACTTTTTAAAAGCATTTTTTACTACCTATTCGGCCAAACCAATAGCAAAAAATGCTTTAAAAAAGTTTTACTTACCTTCCCAAGCCTCCTTTTGGTGCCAATTGTGCATGCGTGTGCGTGCGCACGCAGCACACTTGTCACGCAGGACGCATGCGTGGCGAGCGAACCGGTTCAGATTTCACCACTGCAGGAAACCCTGCTCTCACAGTGGCCACCCAGGTGCCTTTGAGGGCTTCTAATCAAAAGATGGAGTATACCTTATCTCATCTTTTGGAACACTATGGAAGAGAAAGGCAGCTTTGGCTGCATTCATCAAAGGCTGTGTAACAGCAATTGCCAAGAGACTGCGTCTTCCCTCCCTATCAAAAGGAACACTTGTTTCCAATCAACAGTTGTCTTGAGCCTGCGGAGAAGCAGATTTTGCACTCATCTCTGAGTCGGGAGGAGGCTGCTCTTTTTGCCTCCCAGTAGAACTTCTTGGCAAGGAGACTCTGGCTGTTGGATGCTGTAGAAAATTTTCCTCAATTGCAACTCTATCCCACAGCAAGGCCACCAGCAAAGTTCAGCTGATCATAAGAAGTAAAACCACTTTTCTACTAAATATCTCATTCTGACCGTCACAAACTGGTTTCTTGCTTTTCCCTTCCCCTCTGCACCACTGTCCTTCAGCATTTTGTCTTTTGACTACGAAATTTTTCTTCCAATTTTTCTGTGGTTTTTTTTTTTTAATTCATGCAAGTTAATGGGATATTTGTTTGAAAAGAGGGACTAAAACTCGGAATTCAGGGCTTCCAACATTGCCCAATGCTCCTATTTATTTTCCACAGCAACATGAAAGATAGCGAAATCTAGATCAGATAGGAATATATGAATAAAATTGCAGCCTACAACCAATATCCTTTTCTGGTTGCTATATACCATTTTGGAAATTTTTGAATTAAAGAGGAACTCATCAATGTCTTAAATAAATGCTGTTGAGCACACATCTATAAAAAATTTGCTTTCGTTGCAATGACCCTTCCAGTTAATTTTGCTGGAAACCTTATAAGCACAGTTTAATGAATCTATGATAAAACCAGAAAAGTTGAATTCCAATAATTTGGAGGCTAAGGAAGGAAAGATACACAGTACAAAAGTTGTCGAAGTGTTGTCGAAATCAGAAGGGAATCAATATGTAAATTCCATGGAAAATTAAAAATGAGGAGGAAATTTTTAAAAAATCACATTTCTTCTTCTTCTGGCTACATAACTACCTATTTATTTGGTGCCCCAAATGCCTCATAAACACCCTTAGGAGTCTTACAGTGTTATTCTAGAGACTGTCTGTAGAATTTTAATTTATAAAAATGTTTTGAGAAGTTTTAGATATTGTGGCAAGTCACACTATGGTTCTTCACCTTCCGCCTATATCGTGTTGCTCTTTTCTATGTTTTAGACATTGGAAAACAAGCTGTATAACAAGAAAAGGGCAAAGAGTTAAACCTGGTAATTTAAAATAATTCCAGGAAAAGGAAGGCAGCTTTCTAACACATCAGAAATAAATAGAAGTTCACCCACCACCATCACAGGTACACACCTGTTCCGTTAGAAAGAGAAACATGTAGCACAACAAAGCAACAGATTTCATAATGAAGCAGCTGATTACCTGAGCTTGCACATCCCTGCTGAAGAGAGTCTTGCAGTGATGACACAGAATGAAGGACTGGAGAAAGAAAAGGAGGATGATAAGAAAGAGATATGAGAGAAGATACAATCTGAAAGCAAAGCAAGTCCCAGTAAATGGCTGATCAAAGCAAAGCAGCATAGTAAAACCACCTGGTTTCCATATTTTTAAATATCAGGAGTGGCAAATCTCTGGTGCTCCAGATTAGCCAGACTGAAAGTTCTCATCCACCATGATTGTTGGCCAAAATGGCTGTGACTGATGGGATTTTGGTAACAATGGAAATCTAGTTAATTCCCAACCGAACATTAAATTTGGATCTATCCAGATTTCCTCTCTTATTTTTTTTTTTTTAATTTGATTTATATGCCGCCCTTCTCCAGAGACTCAGGGCGTCTTACAATGTGTTAAGCAATAGCCTTCATTCTTTTGTATATTTTTACCAAGTCAGCTTATTGCCCCCACAAACTGGGTCCTCAATTTACCTATCTTAGAAAGGATGGAAGGCTGAGTCAACCTTGAGCCTGGGGAGATTCGAACTTACTAATTGCAGACAGCTGGAGTTAAATTACAATGCATTAGTCTGCTGAGCTATCCAGGCTCTTCATTAGTCTGGTTTCTTAGTTTCATGTACAAATGTAAGGATTTTACATAACCGGATACTTTACAGCAATGGTTACTTCAAGGCCTCTTTAAGCACACACACACAAATATAAATTCCCCAATTTTGGCAAAAGAGAGAGAATGTAGCTTTGGATGTGGATGGTCTGCAAAATAATCTCTAGGCCTTATCTATTTATTCTTCATGATGTTACTGGAAATGTGACAGTAGATTTCTGACTTAATCAGAACAGATCCAAATTAAATCAGATCCAAATTAAAAATCACATCAATTTTGAGCGCCTGACAAAAGTCTTCTTATACAGATATACAGGGATCTGTTTGGGGAGGAAGGAGAATCAAGCCATTTTATGTTAGCTCTTAATTAGAGAACTTTCTTCATTAAAAGCAAGGCCTCCCACAGCCTAATTCATTATTCATTATTATTATTATTGAACAAACAATGAAGATTCACTTTGCAGGTTGGAAAAAAGGGGAAAGATGGGGGGGGGGGGGGAGTGTTGCGACCTGAGTTCCCAGCAAGCTTTAAGGTTCCCAAGAAGTCCCAGCATTGAGAAGCACGATAAAGGAGAATGCAACCTGAAGAGTTTTCCAAATGTAAGCTACTTTCATCTCTCCCGAAATCTTTCAGAACTTCCCTGGGAAATCTCCTCCTGCCTTAATGTAGTTTCTAGAGGCAGATCAACCTTTGTCTGTTTTGGGATACGGTAGATTCAAATAAAGATCAACTGGGATAATCACAGCCCTTTCCAATGTCTGATGCAATTGATATCCATAATTCCCAGTGCGGTAGCTGTGTTGGTGCTTTACAACAGCAATATTTTGTGTTACCTTAGTGGGCTATGATTCATGAGTGCTTATTCGTGATATATATATACCGTATTTTTCGGAGTATAAGACACGCCTTTTTTCTCCCTAAAAGGGGGTGAAAAATTAGGTGCATCTTATACACCAAATGTAGCCCCACCCACCCACTGGCCCCCACCCTTTGGCCTCTGCCTCCCAGCAATTTACCTCCTTGCAGCAAGCAGCAAGAAGAAACAGCTCATTTCAGCTTCAGCACAGTCTAATTAGCACAAGTTGATTGTTGGATCAGCCTCCCAACTCTCAGCTGTTTCAGGCTGCAGGGATTGCCATTGCCTATAACTGTGCGGGCCTCTGCTGCTTGCTGCAAGGAGGTAAATTGCTGGGAGCTGGGAGATTGTTTTTCTTGTGCTAATCAAGCTATGCTGAAAACGAAAATGAAAGTAAAGCAAGCTGTTTGCTGTTTGCTGCAACAAGGCAAATTGCTGGGAGGCAGAGGCAGATTTTTTCTTGTTTTCCTCACCAAAAAAGGTAGGTGTGTCTTATAGTTCGGAGCATCTTATACTCCAAAAAATACGGTATATTAAACAAATAAGTAATAAATAAATGATAAAATGCTTACGTGATCATACATTTATGGGGTTCACAAAACCTTAAGCTGTTTTTACCCCATTTGTGCATTCCACACACCCTTGTTCTCATCCCCCCAGGAAAAAAAAAGAATTGCCTGCTCTGTGTAAGGAATTGAGAAGTCTAGGACTTAAAGTACAGGCTGGGGACAAACTGATCCTCTAAATCAAGTTTAAGATTGGTGGACTCCTACAATTCCTCAGTCAGTTGAAGTCCACACTTCTTAAAATAGTTGAGGTTGAGAAACAGTACTCTAAATCAAAGGTTAAAAAAAATCAAGGAGAACATGGTGTGATCTGAAGCCCAGTACAGTTTGTTCCTTTACCTTGGCCTTGGGGTTGCCCTTGAGATGGCAAGACTCCCTGTCCGAGTTCGCCATTTAGCCACAGCTGCATACGAATGAATGGCTCACGCCCCTTCTGTGTCAATTTGCTCCATGGCTTTGGCCGAGACAGCATGTCGCTGACGCTGCCCTGGGAAAGACCCAGCACCTAGCAGGAAACGACCACGGAAGAAGCAGAATTAGACTCATTACAATGTGAAAATCAGTTGTTTGATTACGCTGGTCTTTTTTTAACCAATTCCATGATAGTTCTTATGCTTTGACTCTTTAGGACAGACATTAAACAGCAACAACAAGAAAAAGATCTGTAAGGATTTACCCGGGCCTGGAATTCTAGATCTACTGAATTGGCAGCCATGTGCCTTCTTAGTCCTAGAGCCAAAACTTCATAGCTTCTTTCCTCAATAAATTGAGGCTTAGTTCTCCTCGCCCAAGTTTTCTTTTTCCAAATAATTTTCCAAAAGCATTTTAATATTTCCTACTGTTGAATGATCTGAAGAAAGATGTGGAGTCTAGTGCAAATCATTACAGCTCATTTCTGCCAACTTTTGTTTTAGCATATTATAAGATAGCGGAAATGTTTCTTTATTGGTGCATTTTAATTTTTTTTTTTTATTAAAACATTTTAATTTTGAGTTTCTCTGAGCCCCCTTTTTTTTTCTGGAAAGAGGAGAAACTGGAAATGGAATGAAACGGCCTTTCCATTACACTCAGACTATTCTCCATGATATGCTTACTCATGTGATTTTACTTCATTCACTCCATATATAAGAATATCAAAGAAAGGAAGCATTCTGAAAAGGACAGGGGGAATGCCAAGGAGTTAACTTTGGTAGGATGCAAACAGGTGGACAGTGAAAGAAGCCTTTCATTAAAAACCATCTCCAGTCCATCTTAGGTTAGAAAACACCAAATTACCAGGCTGAGTTTCTTGCTGTATCTCTCACTGCTGTTTTAAAAGCAATGGACACATCTATGCACCCCAAACTGCCAGATGATATTATTCAGGTTTGCATTGATACTTTAGTCCTGCAATCACTCAAGGTGGCAATATATGTAAGTCTTTCACCTGTCTCCAACACACCATAGAGGAACAGAGACAGTGTTTCTCAATGTCAGAAATTTTAACTTGTGTAGGCTTCAACTCCCAGAATTCCTCCAGCCAGGCTGGCTAGAGGAATTCTGGGAGTTGAAGTCCATACACCTTGAAGTTCATGAGGTTGAGAAACACTGTTCTATCCTGTGATAATCCCCACAGTTCCATACTAGCCTGCTCATCAGAGTGGCCATATGCTTAAGTGGTAGGACTCCCCCATCTTTCATAGCTCCGCAGAAGGAATCTCAGCAGGTTTTGCTTCTTGTGCAAAAATGCAAGATGTGTTACAAATTCCTTCTTCTAAAGGGACATTCAAGATGTGATAGCCCCATCTATTTCTTTTTTTAAAAAAATATATGTTTTATTAATACTTTTTTTATATCACATAAAAATTCCATATCTATCTGAACAGCGTGTTATCTGGACACAATTAATTTTCAGTAGAAATGCCATATTAATCAACCTTATTCATAATAATAAACATAATAATATCAGTAATAATCGCAAAATAGTAATACAATTAGTTTATCTATCTTATAAAATTTTCAATGCGAAAGTTCTTATCTTTTGGATCTTTTTAGATGCTGATCTCTGATTCTGTTAATTAATCATTGGTAAAACAAGTCCCATCTATTTCTGCATTTGTCTATTCTGATCTGCAGGCATGTAAGCACATGGAATTGTGGGTACTGCTTGAGTGGTGGTGGGAAGAATAATGCTAATGACTTAGTCTTGAATCTGGATACCTAAAACATCATATCTGCTTTTAGTCTGCTTCTTTTTTAAAAAAAAACAATTCCAAGCTTCCTCAGGTCTTAAAGGGTGATGGCTGAATTATTCTAATTAAGAAATACAGGTAATCCTCGACTTGCAACAGTTCGTTTAGTGACCATTCAAAGTTACAACAGCACTGAAAAAAGTGATGTGTGAGCACTTTTCATACTTATGTGTCACACGAACAATATTAAGGTGCTTGGTAATTGATTCATATTTATGACGGTTGCAGTGTCCTGGGGTCACTCCCTTTTATAACCTTCTAACAAGCAAAGTCAAGGGGGAAGCCAGGTTCACTCAACAACCGTTTTACTAAGTTGATAACTACAGTGGTTCACTTAACAACTGTGGCACGAAAGGTTGTAAAATGGGGCAAAACTCAAGTTACCGTATTTTTCGGAGTATAAAAAGCACCTTTTTCCCCCCAAAAAAGAGGGTGAAAATCTAGGTGCGTCTTATACTCTGAATGTAGCTCCACCCAGCTTCTCAAACGGAGGTTTCAGAGGCTGAAAAAAAGCATCAGAAACGAAGCTTCAGAAAAAAAGCCCCCAGATAGAGCTTCAGGGGCTTTTTTTCTGAAGCTCTCTTTTGTAGGCTTTCAGAGGCAGGAAAAAAAGCAAAAAAAAGCCAGGCACAGAGCTCATAACCATGGAACCTGTTGCTAAAATTCACCTCTGGGAACAACTGATTGGGGGTATTCCGGGAGGCCGATCCACTTGCCAATCAGCTTTTTTCTTATTTTCCTCCTCAAAAACTAAGGTGCGTCTTATACTCCGGTGCGTCTTATACTCCGAAAAATATGGTAATAAATGTCTCATTTAGCAACAGAAATATTGGGCTCCGTTGTGGTTGTAAATCGAGGACTACCTGTATAAATCAGCCATTTCCCTTTTTATGTCAATCTTAACCCACCGCTGTCAGATAGGTTGATGACTGATACAGAAACCACCGAAATATTCCACTTGAGAGCCTTACCTTTTCCCCAAATATCCTTTGGCAGATACCGTTTTTTGCTAGCTTCTCTTTGACCTGACGGGTTAGATCTATCGTATCCACTTCTTGGTACATGTAAATCTCATACTGCTCAGGGGTCAATGGAGGAACGGAAGGCTTTGATGGCTTTGATAAAGGAACAATGGGGGAAGAAGGAAGGGGGCTGTTTTGGGGTGTCTCACTGCGACTTGCCCCCGTCACACTCAGTTCAGAGCTCTGAGAATAGGGAGATTCTGCGTTGGGCCACTCTTTCCAATATTCCGAGGAGGAGGGCCCTTGGAGTTGCTGGTTACGGTCTGAACGAGCCTGGTTGCTGGCCTTCTCTTTCCCACTGGTGCTCTCCTCCATTTTGGGATCTTCTGGAGGAGCTGTGTTCCTTCTGTCAGGTTGCACAGTGTTCCACCAATGGTCCTTCCATACCCCACTGCGTCCCAGTTCATTTTTAACATGCCTCAGTACACCTTGTGCTGAGTCAGGCATCCCGTGGAGGTCTAGAAGGGAGGCCTCTTGGGCTTCCTTCTTGAGACCGGGGACAGTCTGTAGGGAAGACACAGCGGAATCCACAGAGGACGAGTGCTTCTTCAAGGACAGAGCCAGGGTAGAGTAACTAGAAACTGAAGAAACGGCAGGCGTGGGGATCAGTTTTGAGGACAAGATGGACATTTCGGCTTGGGACAGAGGGGTGGCTTTTAAGGCAGGTTCAAGGGCAGCCTGCTGGGCTTCCATCTCTCGCCGAGCCTGTTGCAAAATGGAGCGAATAGCATCATCGGAACTGCTGCTGGTTGACGTGGAAGGTGGCTGAGCCGGCTCAGCTGCAAGAATAAGAAAACAATGGCTGATGAGATACAGTAGATCACAGCATTCGTTTCTCCAAATATCAGTTATAAGCTCTTCTTTCCATCACCCCTTATGCTCCAATAGAGATCTGTGTGAAATGTATTCTTTACTAATAAAGCTTACTGGTTCAGAAATTTGTTTAAAAAAACAACAACCCACATTTACAAGACGGCCTTATAAAGATCCTGAAAAATAACAAGGGTGAAAACTCCTCCATAACAAAATCTTTATTAGAATCCTGAAATTTACCAGGAAAAGCACATTTTGATGCCTCAATAAATGTCAAATTAAATGTAAATATTTATTGCCCAAGAAAATGGGGGGAAAAAATCCTCATAAAAACAAAAAGCACTACAATACTAAAGCAAAGTGAAACAGAAAACAAAGCACACATTCTAATCTATCAAAAAACCACTGCCTACTTAATAGAACGGGATATAGTTAACTGCTGATGATCAAATTCATTTCTTACTTGCAACTGTGCTGATTAATATAAAATAGAAAAACAACATTCCTTGATTCTGAAACAGTTTGTTACTAAGTCAGTAAGCAGGTGTATACTTGGATACTTATTGTGATGTCATCCACATCACAAGCTATAAGATCAGGAGAATATTCATGAGTCAGATGTAGGCCACAAAGAAAAAGGAAAAATGCTCAAACTGACGTTTCCAGCACATCCATTCGGTATATAAATGCTTTTAGCACACTAGGACACATCTTTCTGTTTTATTGCATATTTCTAATCTGGACCAATCTGTTTTACCCCATCTCTTCTGCTCACTAGATCTGTGTCTTGGCTACATTAATTTTATTATTATTATTATCTGTTCTCCTGCCCACCGTGATTTTCTATCCTACTTCATTTCCCTGTACAATTAGGACTGTATTGCCAGTATTTTCTATATGGTATAATAGTACGTTTTGAGTTTAAATGTCCACATATTCTTACTTATTGTAGCTTCTACCCAGCCCAAATCTTGGGGAGGTGTGGAAACTTCCCAATCAAAATGTTTTGGGGAAAACTTCACACTCCACAAAATTTGCCTGTTACGGATGTTTTTGTATTAATACATTTCATCCTTAAATTCATCCTGTTTGGGGTATCGTAACACACAACATTTTCTTGAGATAAAGAAGGACCCAATGCTCTTTAAGCCATAAACCTTTAGCAATTTACTGAAGTAAAGCACGTCCCAAGGTCATTTGCTTTCTCATAAGCACTTACTACTGTTTCCATGTTAACCTGAACTTCAGAGACCAGCACAGCGAAGTTCTCCTACCTGTTTTCTGTACCTGCAGCTCCCTTTTTGCTTGCTCCAGAATGGATTTGATAGCTTCATCAGAGCCAACTTCTGTAGCTCGGATTCTTGTGGTAATGTTACCTGAAGAGAGGAGAAATGATCAATTGTTGAGCAACCTTTTGAGAATTGATTTTTTTAACCACAAACTGGTGGCTTGACTCAGTGAATTACTCCATAAAAACTACAACAAGATGAACCAGTGAATAAAATCAACAGCTGCAGCTCTATTTTACCTGCCTTCTACCAGTTTTGTGGCTATTTAGAATTTCAAACATCTGCTCTTTTAGTCTGTCCCTGCTTCTGTCCTCAGTCACATCTCACAAATGGGTCCCTTTCCTTCACAATCAGAATTATTTCAAAAATAATACAAAAGAGAAGTGAATTGCTTGCCTGGATACTGGACCAACAAAGAGATCATATATCTAACTCATATATTGAGCCTAAAATCTAAGGGTCTATGGAGATTCTCAGTCATCTGGGTCATGGTTGTCCCAAATGGGCCTTTTTTCAAAGAACTGGATTTCTTTGCTTTTCCTTGAAGACGTTTCGCTCTGAAGAAGCTTCTTGGATAAGAAGCAAAACATCTTCAAGGAAAAGCAAAGAAATCCAGTTGCCTTTTGAAAAAGCAACTTTGGGACTAAAATCTAAGCATAGATTTGGTACCATGCGGATTGCATTAGAGAGCCACAGTGGCACAGTGGTTAGAATGCAGTACTGCAGTCTACCTCTGCTGACTGCCAGCTACCTGCAAGTTGGCAGTTTGAAGCTCACCAGGTTCAAGGTTGATTCAACCTTCCATCCTTCCGAGGTGGGTAAAATGAGGACCCAAATTGTTGGGGGCAATATGCTGACTCTGTAAACTGCTTGGAGAGGGCTGTAAAAGTACTGTGACACAGTATATAAGTCTAAGTGCTATTGCTATTAACCAAGTATCATGATTTGTAAATCATGGTTCAGAAGTTGGTGTCATGCATGAGTCACTGAGCTGGCTTATCTAGACTGATTTTATCTCTTCTAAGCAGCAGAAGTTTTTTTCTGGATGCAGAGAGAATCTGCCCCACTTGCTTCTTTTCTGTGGATTTTCTGGGCAGAGCCAGGACCTGGTGCTCTAAATACTCCACTAATACATTTTGTCTCATCAGACTCACTGCAAATTTAAGATAACATGGCAACATTTATTAGCAGTAAACTCTTACAACAAGGATATTAAACAATATTTTATATAGCCTGCTCTTGAAAATCTATGGACCAATTCCATCCAAAGCACAAACAGTTCCTGAACGCAACGTGCAAGACTTTTTCCCTTTTCCATGTTTTTTTAAAAAAGAAAATCTGCTAAACATTAAAAAAGCAAAATATATCCAAATATAACGAAGTTTTGCAGACAGGAATACAAAAAAGAAAAAAAAATACGTAAGGCGTGTGTATTGGAGAGGGCAGTGCATTTGAATTATTTTGGCCATTTTCCAAATTGGCAATATGCCTAAGCAGCATTCAAATCTTCCTTTAAACAAGATATAGCTCAGTGCTTGCTTTTAAAAGACTAAAAGTTCAATGGAAGCAGACCAAATGTACTTTAATGGGGAGCCTGCCTATAAACCTTAATTACCAAGTGCCTCCCATTTTCCAAAGGCTGTAGATAGAAAAATCCAACTGGCTCCTTCCCCCACCCACTCAATTAATAGCGGCATCATTCATTCATCAGAATTTTCAGCTTTGCGCACATCACTGAAACGGATGGAAATATTAGAATAACAAGAATCTATCTGGCTTGTGCTGTCCTAGCATCCATCTGTGAATTCAGGACTCTTACATACAGTACACGGGCTATTTAGGATGACTGGTGTGAGATACGAGTCAAAGATGCAGGTGGGTGAAGATTCAAATTCCCAATTCTACTATCAAAGATCCTAAGGCTATGCCTGAACATTACTTTCCTTAAAATCATTTGAACAGTTTCTGTAAAAAGTCCATGTCGGGTGAGTTACAGTAACATGTCAGAAGGAGCTGTTCTTCTCTATGCAAGTTAGTGTAATTCTATTATGGCCCTGAGTTCAAAATATGATCTCAAAATAGTTTCTGGGTGTTATCAAAAAAGAGGACCTGACCTCGGCCACTCACATTGTAGCATTGGTCAAAAGGGCCCAGCAGAGATTATACTACCTGAGACTTCTCAGGAAACAACAACTGAATGAAAAACTGCTGGTGGCCTTCTACCGCTGCACCATTTTAATTTACTGCACCTGTGTATGGTTTGCCAATTGCACAGTGGCAGATAGGACAGCGCTCCAGAGGGTCAACGTCATTGCCCAGAGGATCACTGGTTGCCCTCTCCCCTCTTTGGAAGAGCTCCCGCTGCCTTAAGAAAGTTCAAAACATTCTTAAAGATCCATCTCATCCTGGGCACCCCTTTTTTTTTAACTATTACCATCTGGCAGACGGTACAGGACAATAAAAACAAGGACAAATAGGATGAAAAACAGCTTCTATCCCAGGGCAATAACCATATTGAATTCTATGGTATAGTGCAATATTGGGTTTTCAATTGCAATTATATAGAATGTAAAGGCTGTATGTTTGTGTTTTTATTTTTATAGTTATAATGTACACTGAAGACGGCATTTAATTTTGTTGTACCATGTGCAATGACAATAAACTAAACTAAACTAAACTAAACTAAACTAAACTAAACTAAACTAAACTAAACTAAACTAAACTAAACTAAACTAAACTAAACTGATCAATACAAATATAGCAACCAATTTAAAAATTCCTGCAAAATCATTGGGATTCAGAATACATGGTACTCAGCAAGAATAAACAATTTAACTGAAACTATTAAAAACTCATATTCACAAATGCCTCTGCTTATATAATCAAAAATACTAGGAGAGGGGCAAATGCTTCTGAAGCCCACGTTCTCTGAAGAGCTGCAGCAAAGTTTTCAGAATATTGTCTCTAGTTGTAAAAGATTGGCTATCTGTCTTTTCTTGTGCCTTTAAGTACTGCTCCTGGGAGGCATTCAACTACAAGTTCAGTTTGTTGAAATAGCAGCCTTTAATAATTTAACAAAGTTGGAAGGTACCTTGGAGGTCTTCTAGTCCAACCCCCTGCTTAGGCAGGAAATCCTACACTACTTCAGACAAATGGTTATCTAATCTCTTCTTAAAAACTTCCAGTGTTGGAGCATTTACAACTTCTGGAGGCAAGTTGCTCCACTGATTAATTGTTCTAACTGGAAATTTCTCCTTAGTTCTAAGTTGCTTCTCTCCTTGATTAGTTTCTACCCATTGCTTCTTGTTCTGCCCTCAGGTGCTTTGGAGAATGGTTTGACTCCCTCTTCTTTGTGGCAACCTCTGAGATATTGGAACACTGCTATTATGTCTCCCCTAGTCCTTCTTTTCATAAGACTAGACATACCCAGTTCCAGCAACCGTTCTTTATATGTTTTATTCTCAGGTCCCCTAATCATCTTTGTTGCTCTTCTCTGCACTCTTTCTAGAGTCTCAACATCTTTTTTACATTGTGGCGACCAAAACTGGATGCAGTATTCCAAGTGTGGCCTTACCAAGGCATTATAAAGTGGTATTAACAGTTCACATGATCTTGATTCTATCCCTCTGTTTATGCAGCCTTTAAGAGGCAGAAGGACAATCCTAACACTTTTTGCAGTCATCAGAGAAATTAATTTCCCTCCAGAAGTTAGTCAACTCCTTGTGTTATCATTTTTTAATTAAAACAAGACACTGAACGTAAAAGAGGGAATGTGTTTAAAAGTTCCAAATTCCTATGAGCTTTCATTACCCAGTTTTTAAGTATTTAAGGCAATTATCCTGAGTTTAAAAGAAATTTGAAATAGCGCTAGTAGGCACAATGGTGACTTCATTTTGGTTAATAACGTAAGAATTTATATAACTATTTCCCTTAGTATTTAAACGGCTTCATTCCCACCAGGTCTTAGTACACCATCTCCCGACTGTTTAAGAACAGTCCATGGAAGGCACCTTCCACCTGAAAGAGTATCCTGTCCAATTCTCCTTTACAGACTGAGAACCCAACCAGGGGAGAATGGGAGATCTTGAGGCTGCCCTTCTACTATTAGCAGCCCATGGATGACCTAGTTATATCTCCAGACCACAGACTTCTGCAAGAATATACAACACACACTGGGCTTTTTTTAAAAAAAGCACAAATTAAAAGTAAATGCATCAATGCACCCAACCCAGCACATGCATTCTTTATGTGGCCAGAGCTCTGATGATGCTATTCCTCCCCCCCCACCCCCATTTGGGCTCTATTTTTATCAGTAAAGATAAAGGTTCCCCTTGCACATATGTGCTAGTTGTTCCCGATTCTAGGGGGCGGTGCTCATCTCCGTTTCAAAGACGAAGAGCCAGCGCTGTCCGAAGACGTCTCCGTGGTCATGTGGCCGGCATGACTAAATGCCAAAGGTGCACGGAACGCTGTTACCTTCCCACCAAAGGTGGTCCCTATTTTTCTACTTGCATTTTTTACATGCTTTCGAACTGCTAGGTTGGTAGAAACTGGAACAAGTAATAGGAGCTCATCCCATTACGCGGCACTAGGGATCCAAACCGCTGAACTGCCGACCTTTTGATCGACAAGCTCAGAGTCTTAGCCACTGAGCCACCACATTTTTTCAATTTGTGCTCTATTATCAGTATTATCACTCTTACATTACTTATTTTTATTATTAATCTTTCAGTGTTGTGGAAATCACATCCAAAGTGGCTTATGAGAAAGAGCATGTTTTGGGAACCATCAGCTGATGGGGCCCAGAAAGAAAATCTTTTCTGCCATGGTCCCCGCCTTTTGGAACATCATTTCCCCTGAGATTAGATTGGCCCTGTCCCAGTTAGCCTTTTGGCAGGCCTTGAAAAGTTGGCTTTGTGCTTGAGCCTGGGGTCTGGACATGGGTTAAAGCCCATTTCCTGGCTGCTATGCCTTTTTCTCTTTTATTTTTGTTTTATATTTTGTGTCTTCATTATTATTGTTCAATTGCCCAGAGTCGCACAGAAGTGAGAGGGGAAGCCATATAAACTAGGGGTCTCCAACCTTGGCAATTTTAAGCCTGGAGGTCTTCAACTCCCAGAATTCCCCAGCCAGCTTTGCTGGGAGTTGAAGTCTGCCAGGCTTCAAGTTGCCAAGGTTGGAGACCCCTGATATAAACCAAGTGAGTACAATAAAGTAAGGTATTTGCTACAGAAAATCAAACAGCCAGAAAATGTAAAACTCTGAACACAGGAAGCAGTTCTGTTAAATGCTGAATTTAAAAGCAGAGGATCAAAATGTCAAAACTGCTGAACTTAAAAAATAAAAATGAAACACGAAATTGAATAACATCTGGGGAGTCTCAGATTTTCTTATCCCTAGTCTAAATACCCATGTAGGAGAAAGCAAGTGTATAAAATACAGGTTGTGTTTGCATAACAAGCAAAGCTATAGATAACCTGACTGGTAAATATTTGCTGACTATTCAATGATCAGGTGGGATTGTTAATGAGCCATTCATGGCTTCTTCAGCTAAACCTCTCTGTCCTGTGCCAAATAAAGATTTTTAGTCTTGTTCAGCCTTGAAACAAGCTAGAGAAAGAAATGGAAAACTGTAGCATATTTTCTTGGTTCTTGCCAAGAAAGGAATCTAGTTTGAAAAACCTATGGATGGGTCATTAATAGATACTGTATTTGCAGTACTCCAATCCAAAGGGGCAAAGATGCTTTGCTCATTTGGAGCTGATGTTGTGTGGTCAACTTATCTGTAGAAGGCTCCTTATTTCAAAATCAGGCTGTTTTGAGGGGTGGACTATTCATGGTAGGCACACATTCTTAGGAAAACTGGTGTTAATGTGTTAACTCATTAACAGGAATTAAGAAAGCATTAAGAAGAGAGCGGTACGGTGTGACCGTGTGTTGTTTAACTTAGATGGCTACTATGCAAGCCCCATCATAAATGCAGCTTTTTTAAGGATCTAAGGAAGGATAAGCACTAAAATTCATATCTGAAAAAATGGACTTTGAGGAGTAATTAATTTCATTTCCTACTTGTAGGTGGATCATTGGCTTTTTGACAAATAGAAAGCAACAGGTGAAGCTAAGGAAAATTGCATCACCACGGTGGCACAGTGGTTAGAATGCAGTACTGCAGGCTACTTCTGCTGACTACCGGCTGCCTGCAATTTGGCTGATTGCATCTCACCAGGCTCAAGACTGACTCAGCCTTCCATCCTGCCAAGGTAGGTAAAACAAGGACCCAGATTATTGTTGACTCTGTAAACCGCTTAGAGAGGGCTCTAAAAGCACTATGAAGTGGTATATAAGTAGGTGCTACTGCTATTGCTATTGCTATCTAATACCTGGGCAATTAGCACAGGCACCCCTATATACCAATGAATGCACTTCAAAGGAACCTTCTTTTAAAAGTACTGAAGATTGCAGATGATTCAATGGTCACTGGCCTCATTCAAGACAGTGATGAGTCTGCATATAGATGGGATTTTACCACCTTCTACTATATTTGACAGCAGATTATCAGCAATAGAGTCCTTCAAGTTTTGGGGTTCTATAATCTCCCAGGACTTGAAATGGACACCTAATATTAGAACCATCATAAAAAGGCAAAAACAAAGAATATTCTTCCTGCGTAACTCAGGAAGTTCAGATTGTTCCAGGAGCTGTTAGTACAATTTTACAGAGGAATTATTGAGCCTGTCATTTGTACTTCTACAACTGTCTGGTTTTGTACAGCAACCAAATAAGACAGGTACAAATTCCAATGGATAGCTAAGACTGCAAAAAGAACAAGTGCAACCAGCCTGCCCTCCATAGAAGACCTGCATATCGCGTGATTGAGAAGGAGGGCTAAGAAGATATCTGCAGGCCCCTCACATCCTGGATTTAAACTGTTTAAATTCCTTCTCTTGTGATGGTGCTAGAACAGGGGTGGGTTCTACTTACCTTTACTATCGGTTCGCAATGAGGCTGCATGCACGCACGCACTTGCTTCGCTCGCGTGTGCGCTCTTCTGCACAAGCACAGAAGCTCCTGCGCATGTGCAGAAGCATTCTGATGATGTCGGGGTCAGTAGGCGGAGCGTCCCACTGGTTTTACTACCGGTTCTATAGAACCGGTGTGAGCCGGGGGTAACCCACCACTGTGCTAGAAGGCATTTCAGGCCCAAACAACTAGACATATGAACAGTTTTTTTTTCTCTTGTGCCATCACTCTGCAGAACACCTAATTCTCACATTACTGTCTTATTTCTATGTGTATTTACCCATGCAGTATGGCTGCAGTATTATTATTTATGTTTATTACCAATACCAATAATACTAATATCTTATTGGTATTATTACTACCATTATTCTGTGGGTTTGCAGGTACACCAAGAGCTTCTGCACCAGAGACAAATTCCTTGTGTGTCTAATCACAGTTGGCCAAATTAAAGTACTCTACTTCTCTTTCAATTTCTATTCTAATTATTTCTATTCTATTCATTTTAGCCCAGATCCTGAAACAGAATTGCGTACTGCAATCTGAAACAGATTTGCTCAGAAACAAGTTTAACTGATCTTGCAAAATAGATGGAATTATGATTATAACCTTACTTCCTTGTTTTAAAGAACCAGTCCCACAACCAACCAAATAAAAGTTTCTACATTATTAGTATAGTGATTCTACTACACATGCAAAAACTGGGTTATAAGCCATTCCGAGAAGAGGTCTAAATCTATGAGCACAAACAACTTTCTTAGAGCCACCAATGAGAGTTTATGAACTAGGTTCAAAACTAACCACATTCTGCCCACTAGCCATATTATGCTACATTGTTTGAATGCTGAATTTTGTTAATGCTATTTTGTTAAGGTGGTTTTTGAGCAGGAACTATATTCGACATAGTGATGGTTCTACTTCATTCTTTCTTGCTGCCTCAAGTTCTCAAACTTGAGCATCACATTTGCTATCAAATACTGTTATATCTAGTTGAAACGCCCTTGTATCTCTGTACGCACTTCTACGTCTCTGTGTTTCTGATAGCCCTTCGCTCACCGTTCAAGCCACAGAAGAAAGAAACGTGGCTTGCATTCTTTAAGATTCATAGCAGCGTCCATTCTACACACATAACACACAAACACTTAACTTTTCATGCCAATTTCACTTTTGACTGTGAATCTCAAACACCAAGAAGCCACAAAGGCTACAAGAGCCAGTAATGATACGATGGGCCACACATCAGACTTGAACCAATGGGTTCTGCCATGAAATTTGCCCTGTGATCACTTGTAGTCTTATAAAATGGGATTATCCCCAAGGATGTTGACCTGAGCTCCTTGAAGAACGCATAGAAAATTAGTGGGATTGAGAGTAGGGGAGTCCAGCTTTGCCTGAGTGAGACAGTTTACTTGAAGGAGCCAGGTTAGTATAGCAAAAGACTTAGAAAGAGAGAAAAGAGGGGACGAGTGATCTGGATGCTAATCCTTGGTTTGTTTTATACTTACTGCACCAGTACAGATATAGCATGGACTCTTTGCCAAGCATCATTTACCATTCCTCTTCCTCTTTTCCTTATCCAGCATCAACCTGATTTTATATTATCTCTGCACTGGCACCAGGTAGGCTGCTAATCAGGATGGACCTCAGAAAGAGTGTTTGTAGACCTACACTTGCTTCAAGCACTGATTCTCAGGATAACTTTGGTTAGCACCAAGCATGGTCTGGTTTAATGGTAACGTGAAATCCTGCCAATGCAGGGAACAATGGAACTAATATGGAGAGGAATCGGAGGGAAGAAGTGATTTCAAATGTAGCTTGGATGGAGTCCATGTTACGGCTGCCCAGGGCCCACTGTCTGTTTTTCCTCTCAGATTCCAGGCCAGAATCAAACTGCACCCCCTTTGTGTTTACACCAACAACAAATTAAGATGACACACAACTAAGCACACAACTTCACTTTCCAAAGATCAACCGCAAAGAGAAACACCTGCCTGTGACGTACCTTCTGACCCATTTCTTCGTTTCGGTACTTCCTGAAATAGCCTGCTCAGGTTCTGGCCTGGATTCTCTGTTGAAAAACAAGTCGGGTAAGAACAAAACAATCAGGGGGTGGTTCTTCTTATAACTTTGGGCTTTGTGAGATGAAACAAGAACTGCCTAATACTTATAGGGGTTGGAGAGGAAGGGGAGGAGGGAGGGAGGGAGGGAGGGAGGGAGTGGACGGTTGAGCAAGGGCAGCAGTGAAATCAAGCAGCTCATAAACTTTTTAGGCCTGGCTACTTTGAAAAAGGAAGCAAGGCAGACTACTGGTTAATAAAGATTACAGCTACGCATCAAAAGGAGATTAGAAAGATATAAATAAACATCTAAAAGGTACAAAAAGACAGAGATGGGTCAGTAATTCTTCCAAGAGCGGATGACCCCAAGGATGGGAACATGCTGTAAGATGCTATAAACACTTCTTGGCAATCTAGGGAAACTTTGCTTCAAAACAAAGCACACAACACCTCCTCAAATCCCAGTTCTCTTTAAAGCTATCCTTCCCAATGAAATCCCACTGCTTAGAAAGGCAAGGCAATTTCACTTGAGAAACTGGGAAGGGGAAATCTCCACCTGCAATATTATTTCATACAAACACCAGCAAGGAGGTTTGTTCCAAAACGAATATCCGAAGTACCATGTAATATAATAATGATGAGGAACAAGCCAACCATACCAGTTAGCCTCTTAAGAAAATAAAAAGTGGGCAGGAAATTGTTGACGACAATGATCCTTATTCTGTACTGTACTTATCTTTAAAACAAAAAACAAAAAAAAACCAATGTGATATATTGTTATCCTATTTTGAATGATGAGTAGCAGAATATTGGACAGATCACATATCCCGAGAGGGGAGCTAAGCAGAGAATAATTGGCTCTTCACTCAAGGCCCCCAGGCCCCGTAGAAGAATGAGACTATAGAGAACACAGGAAGTGCCCTTTGCACATAGCACTCACATATTATTGTAAGCACTAGACAATTGTGCATAACCTTTGTGCGCTCAGGTGGATGTAACTGGGCTCTCATTGGCTACTGTATTAATGGGGCACTGTATGAGAAAATGTATGTGCTAAGAATTCATGTTTTCAGTTCTCACAGTTATAGAGAAAAAATGACAGCTGCAGCTGAGTGTTGTCTGCCTGTTTGCCTCTACGCAGTGTTTCTCAACCTTGGAAGCTTGAAGATGGGTGGACTTCAACTCCCAGAATCCCCCACCCATCTTCAAGCTTCCAAGGTTGAGAAACACTGCTCTACAGGGACCAAGGAGGACATTTTACTTTTAATGGTGAAAGAAACAGCTCTCCTACTTTCTCCATGCAATGTATTTCCGGCATTTCCCATCCTTGGATGAGGTCTTATGCTGTATCAAACTTCAAGGATTGTTACAAGATACACAGTCATTTTATATTCCTTAATAAAATAGGAATGCTCCGGTTTGCAGCATGTACAGGCCAGCATTCTTGTTAAGTTCCTTTCTGTCCCTCTGTAAACCTCCATCCTTGAATAGTATAACCTGGCAATTCCTGCTTATGAACTCTTTTACCTTTCAGAATCATACAGTTTGATCTTAAAATGTTATTTTATAAGACGGTGTGAAACTTGACCAGTTTCAGCCCTGTGCTATGTTTAACATTTACTGCACAATGTCTGAGCCATATAAGAAGTCTTCTCTTTACACTTCTGGCTCAAAGGTAACACAACGAACACATGGGTGCAAATTCAGCCTCAAAGAGTGAAAATCATGCTATAGGAGGACAGTGGTTACCACTAAAGAGGACATTTCTGAATCCAAGGAAAACCCACAAGATCTGATTATATTTAGGAAGGTACGATTGAGACATGCAGTTCTCCTGTAAAGGAACACTAATTTTACAAGTGGGATGGAGCTGACATCTCACATTTTTCTCTCACCTCTTTCTATGATTGTACAGCGAATAAATGATGTGACCTGCATTCACATCAGGTCTGCGTTTCAAAGCCCAGTGCCATCTCTTCCGTTTATGCATACACTTTATATTCCCAAGCTTCTGAATCTCAAAAGCTGTGGTTTTTTTTTTTAAGTCTTTACACTAAAGGTATAAAACAACCACAGCTGGGGCGGTCAACTCAGTTGTTAAGTGAAGTGGTTGCTAAGTGTAACTGTGATCTTACTTCAAGCTTTCCTTTTCCTTTACAGATCTGCAAAGGCAGTAAATGTGAAGACTGGTTGCAAAGTTTGTTTTTTTCCCCCCCATCACCATTGTAACTGCAAATGGTTGCCCTACGAGGCAGTCGCTAAACAAGGACTACCTATGCACTTTTCTTCTAACAAGGACTACCTACTGTATGCACTCTTCTACTATTGTCAGTTAATGTTGGTTTCATTGTGCTTATCAAACTGATATACTGCCAGAATCTATTTCACAGTTTGCATTTCGTATCTTCCTGAGATATCATTTCCCCCGCCCCTCTTATACTGCAAATTGCCAGACAACACTGATAACTGTCCAGGACAGGGGTCTCCAACCTTGGCAACTTTAAGCCTGACGAACTTCAACTCCCAGACTGGCTTAAAGTTGCCAAGGTTGGAGACCCTTGGTCCAGGATACAGATTTAATATTTTAAAGTAAATAAAGCATATGATAAATAATCCTAATATAGTGCACCTCCCAAATGTATTCTTTGGAGAATAGGTGAACTTTTGATCTTAAAAGATGAAGATTAGCAGTGGATCTCTCAAATCCCCCCCCCGCCCCAAACTGCTACCTGAGATACTTTTGACTGAGGAACATGGGATCTTCTGCCTCCCTTTGCTTTACATTTACACTGAGTTTGCAATCTTGCAAGAGGTTGTTCATTTGATTTTTGATTTGGTGAAAAAAAAATTAAATTAAAATGTGCATAAATCTACAGGCTATGATCTATGATTTTGAGGAATCATGCTTTCAGTGATGGTGGTGCTAGAAATAGAGGAAAGGGCTGGAAACTCCTTCCATTCTAGGACACTTAAGCCAATTAAATATGTTTCTTGGAGAAGTTTTGTTTCTGCAATGGGTTTTCAAGAGAATGAGGCCGGGGTGGTTAAAGAGAAATAACCCTTGGACATAATACATGTCTACGTCATCTCTGTATCACATGGGCAACTTCTAACTCCATTCACTAAAAATGTTCAATGAGACTTTTTATCTGGCCTGCTTCTTCCTTCTCCTGTTATACGCATCTCCCCAGCCAGACAGACTGCCCACCAGATGCTTTTGTCATAGGTCAGTGTTTCTCAACCTTGGAAGCTTGAAGATGGGTGGACTTCACCTCCCAGAATCCCCCAGCCAGCAGCGCTGGCTGGGGGTTTCTGGGAGTTGAAGTCCACCCATCTTCAAGCTACCAAGGTTGAGAAACACTGTCATAGGTGAATCTGCATGGCCCCAAGGGACCATAATAAGTTGTTCTGAGTCTAGCAGCCCAATGGATCTGTTGGCTTATTAGGCAAGAGGGCTAGATTTACAAATGCTCAGGAGATTCCCCTGTAGCTGCTGTAAAGATGGTGAAATGTAACGGCCCTCAACTATTAGAACTCATTTCAAATATTACTGTGTTTTCCCTCGGCAATCAAACGAGATTGGTCAAAGGAACGACAAGGGATCCTGGTACAACTTTTACTGGTTTGTTTTTTTTTTAAACTATCCACTAATGTATGCTTAATAAACCAAAATTAAGAGGAATCATGTAATGATAAAACCTTCTTGGCATGGTGCGGTGGCCTAGAGATGGAGCTCTCGCCTCACAATCAGGAGGCTGTGAGTTCGATTCTAGGTCGAGGCAGATATTTCTCTCTCTGGGCACACTGAGAATATATCTGCTAAACAAAACTCTGCAATGGCAACAGGAAGGGCATCCGGCCATTAAAACACTCTGCTAGCTCCATTCAGTTGCCCAGATTCTACGCCGTGTGGGATTATGGGGTCGTTAAATGAAGATGATGTAATGATAAAACCTGCCCTGCTGTGGTTTGATCAGGCAAGATCCATAAAGTGTTCTACAAAGTTAAACTTCAAAATAATAATAATAATAATAATCCAGCCCTCCTTTCACTGCTGCTCAATGCATGAGAGATAGTTTAAGAGGTATACTCTCAATCATCTTACACAGGTCGCAGCCCATTGGAATCAGCCCCATTGGGTCAGTCCCACAGAGATAAAGCTATCCCGGTGGTCTATTTTTTTAAATTTTTGCAGTGCACATCCACTCCCGTGGAGATGGAGTGCAGTCCTTAGATGCCTATCTTTTACTCTGCTATTTCAGCTTGATTCCTAGCAAGGAGCTCTCTATTCTTTCCACATTATATACTGAACACCAAGCAGACAACTTAACCACACAGAGACACAGACACCATTCCCTTTTGACAGTATCTCCTATCTAGACAAACATAGATGCCAAAAGAGAAGTTGGAGGCCACTACCTCGTGACTCACCTCTCTGCCTGCCTTGGATGCTGCGCAAAGCCAAGATGTTCTGCTCATCAGAAAGGAACTGCTTCATTTTATGGAATGGCTCCTTGCCTCTCACGGTCAGCTTGTTCCATGGTTTAGGTCGAGCCAGAATCTCACTCACAGATCCTTGAGAAAGTCCCAAGACGTAGTGTCCAAAGATCCGCTGTCCGATATTGTGCTTGATCAATTGCTCTTTGACCTGACGTGCAATTTCGGCCGTGTCTATCTCCTCACCTTCTGAGGTGCTGCCGGTGCTTTCTGATTGGTTGGGTGATGGGGCCATGCCGTTGACGTCTGGGCTTTGTTGCAAGGGGCTTTGGGAAGATATGGAGTTTGTGCTGTAGGGACCTACTGAAAAAATCATGCTTGTGCTTCCCGCTTCCTGCATTGCCTTGGTGTAGAAGGACTGCATAAGTTGGCGCTGGAGGAGAGAGTTTAGTGCAAATTTTCCTGTAGAAGCCAGGGGTAAGCCGGAGCTTGCCAAGGATGAGCTGAAAAAGTCTTGACTTAAACCCGTTGGTGAGAACTGGTGTGTACCATTAGTATTGGAAGCCTGCTCCCCTGCATTGCGGGGCAACTGAGGAGGAGGGGAGGCCGGCAAGGTTGCAGGACGCTGACTCTCAGGCTGGTCTTTCCCTTTTCTCCTGGCTGACCCTACAAGGAAGGTCAAACATAATGCATTATGGGGGATCAAAAAGAAGGGGGGAAACCAAGACCAAAATGCAGAGCTTGCCCCACAAAAAGGGAAAAATAGTGCAGGTTGCGTTTTTGTTTTGTTCTTGAAATAAGGGCCAATGAAGAAAGTGGTTTGGGTTTTTTTTGTTTTGTTTTGTTTGTTTCTTTTAATTTTAATAAGCCAAACAAGGCCCCCAAGACAAACAACATGCATTTCATGTTTGCACCTTTCTTGTATGTTGCAGCCTGGAGAATTCCCCCTTCCAAATATTAGCAGTAGAACAATGACATGAAGTGCAGTTACATAATTCTTTTGTTTTTGGTTTAAAATTCATTGACGCACGCACAAAAATTACTTTGGTTCCTTGCACATTTGAGTCATTCCAAACCCCTCCACACACACACACACACACACACACACACACACACACACACACACACATATAGGAACAGACCTTGTTTGAGCCCAAATGCAGCAAACATTTATTAAGGCTATATGAAAACACACGCAAGACATAGAAACCATTGCTCAAAGGAAGCCACAGAAGAACACAGAAACTGCGCACAAGGCAGCAATCACCCAACTGCCCATTGACACATTAGGCAACAGCTCTAGAAACCTTACTTGAAGAAAAAAACAAAAAACAAACTCCAGGAAATTCTATTTATTTGGAGACCCCACTTGTATTGTTCATTTATGGCATGCAAAGCATCCCTTCCAAACAAAACACATAAGCAGCCAAATGAAGCCAAAATTCACCGTTAATGGAAATAAAGGCAGTCAGGATTTGGGTGAATGAATCAGCTATGAAAACAAGGCAGGGTCTCCTTGAAACGCCAATCTACGTTTTGGGAAAGGTGTGTGTAAGAAATAATGTCACGGTCAGACTAAACAATTGAAAGGGAAGACAGGTTCCAATGCTGCTCATCCCAACATATGAGAACATTTCTCCCTCTTAACCTTTACCATTTTTCTAAGGGCCCCAAAGTCTTAGTCTATTATCTATAGTATAAGAGGGGAGTCCCAACATAAGACAAGATCCTTGCTGACCATTCATCTTACTGTCATGCAGTGGCCTTGGGTTCACACAGCCCCTTCCCTTTCCACATCCTCATCTCCTGAGAGCAAGCACAACCTAAAATAATAATTACCTATTTTTTCTCCCATCCACTTACCGCTAAGGTCACTGTTCGTGATCCGCAGCGTGGCATTTTCCGACTGCAGCAGGCGGTTTTTCTCCAGCAGTAAGACCTCCAGTGGTTTTGATGCAGCATCCTATGGAGATATAGAGAGAACAAAGAGAAAGAATGGGAATTGGTTCAGAATGATGTCTCGGGACAATAGGGTGGGAATTCAAAAGAGTGCAGATTCTAGTCTATGGCACTTCACTGCTTCACTTAGTGGCTGTAGAGACTATTTAAATGCCTCACTAAATCATTTTTTACATCTGCTTATCTTTAGACACCGTAATATCAGCCGTTACCTTCCTTGCAACATTATGTTTCAAGTGGTATGAAAAGAAGAAATGAATGAAAGCGGTAAGCAAAGCCGTTCCTTTCTCCTTCCTTGCACAGAATCATCGAAACCACTAAAGGTGCTGGAATCCACCTTGTAACCTACGATCCAATGAAAGTAACACGCAGCAAGGAAATTTGGGGATACTTTCCTTTTGTACAAGATTTAATTTAACTCAATTGTGCATTCATTTCCTGTGTGACTTGCATTGGTTGCCAGTTGCCCTCCGGGTGAGATTCAAGGTGCTGGTGATGACCTATAAAGCCCTACATGGCTTAGGCCCGGGATATGTGGCGGGCCATCTGCAGCCAGCAACAGCTTCCCATCACCCTCTGCGTTCTCACAGGGAGGGCCTACTCAGGGTGCCGTTGGCCAGACAGTGTCGGCTGTCTACCCCCAGGGAGAGAGCTTTCTCTGTGGGTGCACCCACCCTTTGGAATCAACTCCCTCTGGAGCTCCAGGTGGCCCCTGACCTTCGCTCTTTCCGCCATGGCCTTAAAACGTGGCTATTTCACCTGGCCGCCCTGGACTGATGGGGGTTTTAATAGAATTTTTAACTGGGTTTTATTGAATTTTTGTTAATTTTAACTTGGATTTTTGTTTTAATGGTTTGTTTGCTTTGTTTTAATTGTTGTGAGCCGCCCTGAGTCCATTGGAGATAGGGCGGCATACAAGTTCCATTAAAAAAAAAAGGATTCAATCTAGTTAACTGTTTTTAGAACAACATACAGGCAAAGAGAATGAAGTCAATGTGGAAAATCTAACACCCTTGAAGTGTGTTGAAATGAATTTGTGGAATTTTCAATATAGTGAGAAAATTCTGGCAGTTGTAATGCCAGCAGATTGAGAGATTCCACACCAGGAAAGCTGTTGTACTTTTCAGATCAGGGAGATGGTTCAAATTGCCAAACCCCTATTTCTCTCTGAAACTGATATTAAGAGAAACTGGAGTTAACCCCCTCCCCAATATTAATGTTGTAAATGGTTTGGCTTTGTTAATTATTATTATTATTCATATAATCAGCCCAATGCTCATACAACAGAGGAGATAATTGTGTTAGTGGACGAAGGAGAAAAATGCAACCTTTTGGTCATCTGCATTGACACCTTAGGTAAAGGTAAAGGTTCACATATGTGCTAGTCATTCCCAACTCTGCTCATCTCTGTTTCAAAGCCGAAGAGCCAGCGATGTCCGAAGACATCTCTGTGGTCATGTGGCCGGCATGACTAAACACCAAAGGCACACAGAACACTTTTACCGTCCCACCAAAGGCGGTCCCTATTTTTCTATTTGAATTTTTAATGTGCTTTCAAACTGCTAGTTAGCAGAAGCTGGGACAAGTAATGGGAGCTCACCCTGTTATCTGGCACTAGGGATTCGAACTGCTGACCTTTCAATCAACAAGCTCAGCGTTTTAGCCACTGAGCCACCACATCCCTTTTATTAACACCTTAAGATTCCAGAAAGTTCATCTTAATCATAACTTTCCAAACAGTTATCTATTTGGGTAATTCTAATCATTCTAACCATCATCATACATCTTGCATGGCTAGTGTCACAATAAATTAGGCTTAGGTAGGCAGGTGCCTGTTGCAATCTTTCCACAAATGGTGTGTGATGATGATCAAATCCTCACTAGTTGGGGTGTTACTGTGCTACTCATGGAGGAGCCAGGGAGCCCAAGGTTTTATGTGTTGAAGTACATATGACAATCAAACTACTATTGGGTCTGATCCATCTTATAAACCCAGGACCATTGAAGGAGCTTGTGATTTAAGGAAGTTCTAGACCACAAGTTCCCACTTCCAGTTCTTGTTTTCATTTCTATATTATTTTCCTCTGTAATATTTATTTATTAATTAAATTTATTTGCCGCCCATCTCATTCCAAAGCAACTCTGGGCAGCTTAAACATACCAATATTCAATACCAGAAAAAAAAACAAAAAAAAAAACAGCAGCCACGCTGTGAACATCAGCTAACAGAGAAAGTAAGATTTTTCCATAAAAGGGGGAGGGGGGGAAGCTGTGATCGTTTAAAATTCCTACAAACTCTTACTACATTTCAATAGCAAGTTCTCAATCCAAGCGAACATTCAAAAAATTAAAAAAAAAGATCTATCCAGCTTTGCTCTACCAGAAAATCGAATGAATTACCTGGATGCTTGAGCCATCAGATGGCGCAAACTCCATGGACTTCAGGATGCTGCAAAGTGGAAAAAAAGAAGTTATTTTACACTCTGTCCTTTCCTAACAGCTTTACTAAAGGGCATTAATGCTGCAATTTTCGGCTCTCCAGGAACACCCTAACTGATAACTTTAACAACTTTTCTTTGGAATCATATAATCTGATAATGAATATAGAATAAGTACTAATGCTAGTTATCGGAGAAAAGCATCCTCTCAAATGTCCCCTAAATCACTGCACAGCGAGGTTCTGCCAGGCTCATTTGCAACATAAATTTAAAGGTTAATAAGGATATAACATTTTAAACTGTCAGAAACAATATAAATTTATATGTATGTCGCTTGAAGGGAAAGAGGGAACACAGTCATAATAAAATGGCAAAAAAAAAACCCCAACACAAACAAGCAAATCACTATCACCATCATCATAAATGAATGTTAAATGTGAAATATATGTAAAATACTTTAACTCGCTTATCAAGAAAATTACAGTACACACAAATTATTTGCATAGTCAACACATTGTAGGCTTTTCAAAGGAATTTTCCCCTCCCATTTAAATAACCAGTTGCTCCAAGGGGACAGGACAAAATAATTGCTTGATATTTTTCACGAAACTTAGAAGGGTCATTAAACATTAAAATCATTTCTAGGAACATTAAAATCATTTCTGGAATAGCAGTTGTGTTATTCTTGATGCAGCAAAACCAAGTGGCACCATAAAGACTCACACATTTACATGCAAAAGCTTTTGTGAACAATCTTGTGACACAGGAATATATATGCCTCTGTGTGTGTGTGTGTGTGTGTGTGTTTTCTTTCCTTTTCGTAGGCTTTATGTGTATTTCTATTTAGTCAGATTCTTCCTACGTAAACCAAGATTTTTATGCAGCCCTAGTTCAGTGAAATCACAATCCACTAGTTTTTAGGCTTTTTTTTTTTCTGGTGGCCAGCAAACACTCTGCTGCCCATTGGGAGACCAACACTGTGCTGTCCATTGGGAGACCAATGGGCAGCAGAGTGTTTGCTGGCTGCCAGAAAAAAAAAAAAGCAGAAACTAGTGGATTGTGATTTCACTGAACTAGGGCTGCATAAAAATCTTGGTTTATGTGTGTGTGTGTGTGTGTATGTTGGGAATAGGCAGCAAAATGCTTGCTTGCTGTCTGAAAAAACCTAGAATTAGTGAATGGGATTTCACTGAGCTATGGCTGCATTTTGAAAATCTTGGTTTATGTAGGAAAATACCTAGCTGAGGAGAAATATGTATACACACACACACAGAAGCAAGTGGCTGGAGTTGTGGGATTCCATCTTCACAATATAGCCTACAATATAGCCTATATCAATGTTTCTCAACCTTGGAAGCTTGAATATGGGTGGACTTCACCTCCCAGAATCCCCCAGCCAGCGCTGCTGGCTGGGGAATTCTGGGAGGTGAAGTCCACTCATCTTCAAGCTACCAAGGTTGAGAAACACTGGCCTATATGGATCCAGCCATTCCCATTTTAGCTACTTTGGATTTAATGAATCTACAGATAAAGAGAAATTTCCTCTGCAGCAAGATAGACCCTTCTTGGTGAATGTATCATTTTTCTGGATTTTTTTAAAAAAATATAAGATTTTAACAATTCAAGATTTTTGGGCAAAAAACCATCCGATGATTGCAGAAAGTTTAAAATAGGCAAAGCATACAGTAACATTTTATTTTCACTATTTTTATTTTTTGGTGAAAGTACTTTTGCATAAACTTGGATTAAACTAGACAAATGGAACAGACCTTTGTGAGAATGCTTTCTTTTCACATCTAAATAATGCAAGAAATTTGGTGGATTTTACCAAACAAAAGGTAAGGTAATATGATCCAGGCTCTGATACTTTGTTGCTATGGAGATGTGGAATGTGATGTGGTTTGAAGCTGTGGAATGGGTCCTCGGAGATGAAAGTGTTAAAGGCATAGAAAGATGAAAGAGAAAAAAAAAGAGAGGAAGTTTGTTTCTTTCCTCTGCCAGAGTTACTTCTATCTTTAGACTATAATATCAAATTGGCAACAATGAAGAAAAGCTTCAAGGATGGAAGGAAGGAACGAGAGGCTTGGAAGAGCAACCTGCAGAGAAGAGAATGACACCACAAATTTGCTCCAGACAATACGTCGTAAGTTGGATAATCTTTGAATAATAAATTGAAGCATTTAAAAAAAAAAGTATGAAAAATTTGCAAAGATGGGAAAAGAGATTAAAGAAACAGTTAAAAAAGTAGAAAGTTCTGCAAAACAAATGTTTGGAGAAATAAAACAGATTAATGGGAAATGGAAATTTTAAAGATGATGTTATGTATAGAGAGTTAGAAAGAGAATTGAATAATGTGGCCCTATTGAAATCTAGAGGAAGAATTCTGCTTGAGACTTAGAGCAATTCCAGAAAACTTAGGTGAAGTTATTAGATAAAAGATTATTAAAGCTTTAACAAACTTTTTGGATTGAGAAGAGGAGAAGACTGAGACAGAGATTGATAAAGTTTATAAAATAAATTCCAGATTTGCTAGAACAAGAAATGTCTCACAGAAAATTTTGGTGAACTTGAATATATGTTTTATATATATAAAAAAAAAAACAAAAAAAAAAAAAAAAAACACTTATCCACAAAGAGGGAATGGTTGGTGAAGGAGATGGAATTTGCAGAGATGGCTAAATTAAGGAACAAAATATTTGGGAGAAAAACAAAACCCCACTATGTACATTCATTTTTGTGAACTTTTTGCATGAAACAGAAAAAAATGAACTTAGGATCTACATGTTGAATTAGGAAAAAAAACATAATAGAAAAAGAAGATTTTTTTTCCCCCAGAATTCCCCAGTCATCTGGGAAATTTTGGGAGTTGACATCACAGGTCTTAGAGGAAATTGGAAGCAATTTCTTCCTATTTTTTCTTTTTGCACTGACTTTTTCTTTGTTCCCCTTCTTTCTCTTTGTATTAGTTCTTAAATTTTTTTCTTCTGTTTAAATTCTTAATAAATATATACTGTACCATACTGTGTACAGTTCCACCCACTTAATCTGTGTGTGTGTGTATGAATGAATATACACAAAGATTAAGTGGGTGGAACTGTATGCACTATGGTCAGCAGAAAACATGAAGTAGATGGTATAGGCAGTGATAATTACTTTCTTGACAATGGACATTCACAAAACAGTTATTAGGTGTGACACATTCTAGCACCAGTGAGCCATTTAACACATGCAGTGTGATGCAAAATGGCCTCCGTGTAATCTTTGAAAAATAGTGTTAAATCTCCAGATGAATAAATTTCAACTCAGTTGTTTCGTATAAAATCAATCTTTGGCACTTCTTTTCTCAAGGACAACCGTCTTGAGATATTAACCCAGAGAGTTTAAGTGTTCCCTTCTTTGTATTTGAACATGGCTCATTTTTGACATCAGAAACGAATCCATTTAGTTTTTTGAATGTAGCCTGACTACTTGTCGTACATACGGTGCAGAGGGTTTCTGCTGACAAATGGCCATTATTTCACGCTGCAATGTAAGACAGTATATGAAAAGGGTACTGCCAGGGGACAATATGAAAGAATAGATGGGACGACAGAGATGGTATGAGTACCCTAAGGGTAAAATGGTAGGATTTTATATTTATTTATAATAAATAAAATCAGTAAATAAATCTGGGTCTCCTTAAACTATTTTTAGAGGCCTGCTAGGAAAGATTCATTCTTCATTTCACACTGTTTCCTTCTAAAAGAAATATTCCTGCTTTCCTCTGTCTGTCGTAGGATTCCTATAATTACCAGAGCATCTGCTCTTCCCTTTTCTACTTGGCAGACCAACTCTAATGGGTCTTTCTACAGTGCCTATGTGAAGTTTAAGCAAGTCCATAATGCGCCTGACAAGCTTGATAAGTTTAAATGGGACTTACAGCAAAAAATTTGCAGCAGGTAGTTGCCCTCTTTGAGGTTTTAGCCAGGCTACAGATTTGCTTTTTTCCCCAAGCTTTCCCAGTCTGGTCTGACTCCCCTCCAACATCTCTTTAAAACTTCACTCATTAGTCAGCGTTTTCTGATAACTGGGCATATCCAATCCTTATTCAATTACTTGGGAAGTTACTTTCTGCTTTAAGAATTTCCCCGTTTTGGAGTCTGTCTGTAAATTCCACAAATCTTGACCAGGTATGGTGGTATTTTATTATTATTTATTACACTTATATGCCATCCATTGGCCAAAGGTGACACTAGGTGGTTCACAATCATTCAATAAAAATGCCATATAAAACATTAAAACAATAAATAGAGATCTTAAATTTAAAATTCAATTAAATTTTGGTTGCTTAACTGGTATCTGGAGACTATGTTCTCTACTTGAATACAGGGCACATTACAATTAAGGACTCAAAGAGGCTCTTATATTTTCACAAAAACACTATTCCATTAAGCGACTGAAGACTGTAGACCCGTGATGGCAAACCTATGGCACGGGTGCCACAGGTGGCACAGGGAGCCATATCTGTGGGCATGCGAGCGTTGCCCTATCTCAGTCCAGCACGCATGTGTGCACTGGCTAGCTGATTTTTGGGTCTTCTGGGCCCACTGGAAGTTGGGAAACGGGCTGTTTCTGGGCCTCCGGAGGGCCTCCAGGGGGGTGGGGAAGGCTGTTTTCGCCTTCCCCAGACTCCTAGAAAGGCTCTGGAGCCTGGGGAGGGCAAAAAATGGGCCTACCGGGCCCACCGGGCCATCACGTGCCAAAAGCAGGGGGAGGGGGGGGTCACGCATGCATGTGTGGGGGGAGGGGGCGCATTAAATTATGGGTGTGGGGACGCGCACACGCAATTCCCCCCCCCACTACCCCCGCTTTTGGCATGTGATAGCAAAAAGGTTAGCCATCACTGCTATAGACTATGTTCAAGACACATTTCCCAAAATTTCTTGGGAATTTCTGCATATGTGATGTGTATGGGTACCGTAGTACTACACCCCTTCAGTATCACAGATTGATAGCCTTAAATGACAAACGTTTCTTTTCTTTTTTTTTTTTGCTTGGTGACTACAAGTTGATTCTTATCTCAAAACCATTTGATTGATATATATATATGGCACTGCAACTCAATAGTAGGTAGACACACTTACTTTAATTCTTTCTTAACCTCATCATAGTCAGCTTGCACCTTCAACTTTTCTTCCAGTTGCTTATAGGCAATAAAGAAATGAAAAATAATTTTGATTAGATTTTTATTTTACAATATGGCCTTCCTACAAAGCTAAGAAAAAAAATATAAAAAGGAAAAAAATGGTAACATTAAATTTGTTTCAATGACAAAAATGAGAAAGGTCATGTCTTTTCTATTACCCACTATCATAGACAGATATAGTTTTTGCTGCTTTTACTTAAATACTGCCACAAACAAATTGATTTCCTGTGGCTTATCACCTGATATCGATGACATTGGCTCTACTTCTGTATATCACCAAGAGAGACGGTGTGTCTCGAATGAAATGAGGGAGTCAATGAGGATTAAGAAATTCTGACCACAAGAACGCCTTTTGGATTTGCGGATAGTTCCCAAAGATAGGATGTGGACAGTCTGTCTATTCTAAATAGGACTGTACTGCCTTAGAAGAGACAGGCACAGATTTTGTCAGGCATTCTAATTTACATGTACGGCCTAAATGACTCTTGTGTTCAGGAGTGCCTATTTTCTTATTTAATTAATAAACCAGTGATGTCCTTTTCTGGATAGGTATCGATTAACAAATGTTATTTACACAATGGGTAGACTCAGGCCTGGATTATTGTTATGCAGAGGTGGTATTTAGCTGGTTCGGACTGGTTCACCTGAACTGGTAGCAGAAATCGCGGGTGGGCCCACCCACCCACCCACCCACCCACTCACCCACCCACCCCGTCTCTACGCCATCCTGTTTAGGCACATTTTTGAGGCCGGGCGCATGTGCAGAAGGCAGGCGTGCACACAAACCGGGCACGTGCGTACACGAAGCGAACGTGCGCGCAACAAACCGGTAGTAACATAATGTGGAACCCACCACTGTTGTTATGTCTATATTTATGCTTGATCTGACAACTGTGGAATTATCTTGAACGAAGCCAGGTTGCTGAATGGCATGCCTGATGGCGAATACATTACAACTCTGTTGAAGCAACTGCACTGGTTGCAATTAGATATCAAGATTTAAAGTTCAGCTTTCAACCTACGAAGCTTGAGGGGTTGAGGGTTTTGGTTTTTTTTTACAATATTGTAATGTCTGATCTGTTGACCTTTTTATCTCTTCAAGCTAACTACCATCTTCTCCTCAAATCTAGGGCCTGAAGGATCTTTTCTGAGACTGAAGGTTGTTCCCCCCTACTTGGAACATGCAGATGCCATCATCATAGGAAGAAGAGAAATAGGAAAAACTGACTTAGTTGGGCCTTTGACAAACATGAAACTGTGCACACCAGCCATTTAGACCCCGAGTGCTTCCACAGCCTGCAACAGTTGTGGAAAAAGATTAGCATAATAATTGTCTGGAAGAACCCAGCGAAATGCAAAGTGGAACAAAAGGTTCAAGCTGTGAGACAATCTGGAGGAACAAATATCTGGCTCTAACTATCAACTTGGTTCTTTTTCAGACAAAATAAAAGGCATGTTTCTAATGCCATGCAAGGTCTAAAAATACTCCTCCACGAGCTTGCAGATGATGCTTTAATGGAAGGGGGATGGGAGAAATTCCTATGCAGCAGTTAAGAAAAGTTTATCAAGAAGCCCATCACGATGTATTAACCTAAACAATGGGCACAAAAATGAATGAGGAAGATCAACTTAAGTCTTTCAGACTGTTGTGGCCCACCAGCGGCCTGCGCGGATCGTGGCTGATCCCGACGAAGAGGAGGCTGGTGTGGTGTCGTGCCAGCAGCCTGCGCAGCCAGCGCTTGTGTCGGAAGAGCAAGGAGGCTGAAGAGAATGTGGTGCCAGAGGCAGAGACTCAGCCAGGGCCTTCAGAACCTCCAGAGGTTCCTCCAAGTGAAGAGAGCGAAGTGGAGGAGCCTCTCCTCAATGCTTGAGCATGCAGGGCTGCCAAAAGGCAGGAGTGGCTACTCAGGAGGAGGAGGTCTCCACGAGAGTAAAGCTTGAGGATAATTGGCCACTCCCTTAGCCTATTTAAGTCACACGCCGTTAGTAAGTTTCTTGCTAGAAACAACTCGTATTTATTATCAGAGTATTTTGGTTTATCATATCTTGTTTTCTGGGCTGGTTGCCAACCTTTGCCGGTCTTGTTTATTCTTGCTACTTAATAAATTTGATAAGGACCGTTGGTGTGTGTCAATATTCTCGGAAATCCGGAGCTGAACACAGACTTTAGTTTAAGTCTCGTATTTAATCACTCAATCTGCATCAAATTTAGCCTCTCCCCCCTCCCCCTTCCTCGGGAAGGGGAGGAGAAAATCACACAGCTCTGAACCAGAATTTTATATTAATAATATCCAACAAAATATCGGAGGTAGAGTATCAGGTTGTGTTGTCTTTTCCCCAACAAAGGACCACATCTACGCATACAGCAACCAGACTTCAATCAAGAAATAGAGCTTATGAAGTATGTTTTTTTTTCTTTTTTCTTTACTTCCGATCAACCCTTGTCTGATTCTCAGAGACTGCCTGGACAAGTCTCTACAGTTTTCTTGGCAAGATTTTTCAGAAGTGGTTTGCCACTGCTTTCTTCTTAGGGCTGAAAGAAAGTAACTGGCCAAGGTGGTTTTGTGCCTAAGGCAGGACTAGAACTCACAATCTCTGGATTTCCCGCCTGATGCCTTAAGATGTACACCAAACTGGCTTTCATGAAATATGTAATCGCTCAAAATCTCTACTTCCCAAGCAGCAAACTCCCCAAAGATACTGCTCTCCTGGTCTTGTAAACTCTTGTAGGCTGGTTGTTTGCTGGGCGGATGAGAGTGTCTCAGATTCTGGCCTTTGAGTGGCAGCTAAATATCCTGATGGAGAATAAATGGACTGTATCTGCCTATTTACTGACAGCCCAGGTTTGAGAATTGAGCACTGCGCAGAAGGGTGAGTTCCTGTTACTTGTCCCAACTCCTGCTCATCTAGCACAGGGGTCTCCTTTGCTAGCTGAGGAACTCTGGGAGTTGAAGTCCACAAGTCTTAAAGTTGCCAAGGTGGGAGACCCCTGATCTAGCAGTTTGAAAGCACACAAATACGAGTAGATATATACCACTTTGGCGGCCAAGTAACAGCGTTCTGTGTGCCTTGGCATACAGTCATTCTGGCCACATGATCATGGAAATATCTTCAGACAATATTGGCTCCCTTGGCTAGGATATGGAGATGAGCACTGCCTCCTAAGTCAGAGATGACTGGTAAAGGGGAAATCTTTACCTTTACCTTTCTCTTGGATGCTTCTTTCTGAGAGAACCAATCTGAATTCTAAATGTGATTAAGTGGTTGAAAAGATCTACCACAACAGTAGAAATAATGTGTATATCAACTCTGAAGTGAATTTGGCTGGGGCCATTTTGGAGGCTTCAGGATTGCCACAATGCGAAGAAGGCATAGGGAGGGGGATTTTGTATCCAAAACAAAATAATTTCCTGTGGGAACCAAGGACATTCCAACAGGTGGCTGGAGAGAGGAGGAGCAAAGTAACCAGGCAACAAGCCAGCACCTTGATTGGACAATGCGACTGATTGTTTGGGGGAAAGGGGGAACTTTCACTTTTTAATCAGGCGAAAACCGCGGGAACTTTCAGAGTCGGTTTTCACCAGTTTGTGCCAATATATCTCCAATAAAATTGTTCTTTGAGGAATCTTCCTGCCTCCGAGTTCTGCTTTCTATGGGGTTATTACTTGGAACCATGACAGTGTATTTGTCAAAATGGCATTAGAGGCCAAATATGCAATTTACCTTCCTCCCAGATCCTATCTAAAGCAACGGAGGAAACCAAACTGCTTGCTTACTTTGAGAGTGCTGTTCTTGGCAGTCAGCTGCTGCTCGAGCTGGGAGATCTGGCTGGTGGAATTTTCCCGAAGTTTGGTAAGATTGCCTTGGAGTCTCTGAACATCTTCAACCAGCTGAGCAATCTCTCGTTCTTTGGAGGCCAGTTCTACTTCCAGGCTAGATCGTGTCAACACTTCGATGGCCTGCTCCTAAGAGATAAAGGAAATTGGAGAGAGAGGAGACAGTAGAGATCACACAGTGGCAAACCAACATGCCAAAGATTACCTGCAGCACATTAAAATGAAAAGCTAGTATTGGGTTATAGAGAATGGACAGGTCAACATAAAATTCTCAGTATCAAATGTACTATTTTCTTCTGGGAGGTGTTAAAACATGCTAGAGAAAAGATTGCCAAAACCTTGCTTAAACTGATTACATCATTGTTTCAATGCATAATCTGATTTATTCCATGTGGCATTTTACATTTTATGCTACTTTTCACACAGGGCTGTTTTGATCCAAAATATAGACTCTTGAATATATAACCAATGATTCCTGGTGCCATAAAACTTTCTTTAGAGCCCATTTTCCATTCCCTAATTTCAGTGGCAATTAGGAGGTGAACTCAAGGTATAGAATCTTTAAAGTGGGATCTCCTTCCTAGAGTGATCTGCCAATATATATGCGCCACCAAGGCTCATATATATTTATTTATATATATTTAATTGAATCATAGGGCTAGAAGGGACCTCTGAGGTTTGTACTGTATTAATATCTGCTTCAATCGTACTTTAACACACTATGTTCTAGTGGTGAAATTCAAATTTTTTTACTACCGGTTCTGTGGGCGTGGCTTGGTGGGCATGGTGTGGCTTGGTGGGCGTGGCAGGGAAAGGATACTTGGTGGCGCAGCGGCCTAAACTGCTGTTAAAGTAGCACTTAGCTGCCAGCTGCCTGCAATTACTGCGAGTTCAATTCTCACCAGGCTCAAGGTTGACTCAGCCTTCCATCCTTCCGAGGCAGGTAAAATGAGGACCCAGCTTGTGGGGGCAATAAACTGACTTTATATAAAATAGAATACCGCTTAGGGGGGGCCAAAAAGCCCTACTAAGCAGGTATATACAAAAGTATGAAGGCTATTGCTTAATGCATTGTAAGCCGCCCTGAGTCTCCGGAGAAGGGCGGCATATAAATTGAACAAACAAACAAACAAATACTGCAAAATCTCCATTCCCACTCCACTCTGGGGCCAACCAGAAGTGGTATTTGCCAGTTCTCCGAACTACTCAAAATTTCCGCTACCGGTTCTCCAGAACCTGTCAGAACCTGCTGGATTTCACCCCTGCCCTGGTCCATTTCCCATTCCCATATTATTTTTTAAGCCCCCCAGAGTTGGTTTAAAATGGACGACTATACAAATGTTTTAAATAAATAAATGCAATTCTAACAATCTACTGGCAGAAGAGAGCACAAGGAGAATTGGCTTTAGATCAGCAAATATTACCTTCCAGCTTCCCTAGGAAAACCACAGGGTTATTATATACATGTGTCCCCCCCCGCAAACACCCCAGTTCTGAAATGTCCAGTTTTTCCAGGGTAGAAGATTCTGGCTAAATAATTTAGCTTTACACAGGAGGAAAGTTTAAGAAGTTTGATGGCAGGCACTCCAAGAAGATTATTGGAAATAGGGGCTGCCTCTTACCACATCCGGTGCTTTCTGAATCTGGTTAGCCAGCTGGAGAGATTTGTTTGCAGATGAGAGTTGTTCCTTCAAGGACTCTGCTTCTCTTTGAGCTACCTCTGCCCTCTGAAAAAAAAAAAAGTGCGGGGGGAATCAGGAAGTGAGGATGGGGGAGAGGGAGAGAATGTACATTTGATTTAACAACTGGCAATTATTGCACGAACATTCATCAATTCATGCCCGACTGAGTATAATTGATTTTCCTAAACACTCAACCTAATAAATGATGGGGGGAGAACCTCTGAATGTGATGGATTTTTATTTTAAACAGTACAAGGAAGAAATAATTGAGCGATTATGACAGTAATTTAACGCTAGGAGCAAGGAATCCCCTGCTGACACAAATGCTGCGGCCCACTGAATTTCCCAGGCTGGATGAATGCGAGTGGAAATGGATTCCTTTGATTCAATTGCCTTCTGTATTCTGAGCCAAAGCAGGCAGAGTTGCATGATTCCTTGTGGGAATAATTCTCATGAGTAAATGCTGAATTAAGTGATCCTCAGTCTGCTTTGCCTGAAATAATCACAATGGCCTTTTGTGGAGTCTCTTTCTTCCATAACCATGTCTCTCCTTTGCATACACGCACATAGTGAAGTATACAAGGTAAGGAGAATGGTTACAGGCTTAATCCACATTACATTTTTATCCTGTCTTAAAAAAAAAACAAAAAACAGGAGGCAATAACCTCTAATATGCCAGAGATTGCTGAATATGTTTCTCATCAGCCCAAAGCAGTATAGCCAATTATCAAGATGATGGGAATTGTAATTCCAATATCTAGAGAGCCACCTTTTCCCACTCTGTTCCAAGGGACACACTGTACCATGCAAAATAGTTCCTCTTGTCCTTACAAAATCCATGGTAAGGAAATAGAAGAAGAAGAGGCCACCCAATCTACAAAATCCCAAGTGTTTGCACAGTGCTTACAAGCACTGGCCTTTTTTCTATGGATAAATGCAGCTCACTGCTTGGATATGACATTTATGGGATCTGTTCCTATAAACATCTTGAGGACTGGATCAAGGCTGCCAGGCTGCTTCCTGGCTTTGAGAAGAGGTGCTGGATCAAGTTCTCCATAGTCGAAATCTAACACATCAACTGTTCCACATTTGTTTTTAATGAATACATGACACAAAAAAACAGTAACTCTAGAGGGAAAAGAAGTGCATGAAAACCTTAAATTATAGATGTACTTATTGGAGCAAGTACATGCTACTGTAGAAGCATCCCCTTTTGGATGGTTTAAAGCAGGAATAATTCATTGTAGATGGTGCTTACTGACCATAGTTTATTGGAGAGAGACAGAGAGGGGGAAATGGTGTTTGCTCCTCCTACAGCTTTCCAAACTAGCTTCAAAGATAACAGACTCAACAAGGACATAAAGTGGTCAAAGCAGAAAGGCCTTGTAGGTCTCTCCAAACCCAGTTCCAGAAAAATTGCAACTCTGGGTGCCTAGATACTCCAGCATCTCAAATTTCAGGGCTTCCAGTCATGGCTCTCTCTGTCTTTCCAAATGGCCTCGGAGTTGGAAGCATGATAGATATATTTGCAGTGGAATGATTCAAGTCATTTATTTACTACCTTTCAGAACAGTATTTTGAAAAGAATTTATAATCTATATAAATATCTGCAAATAAAAACTCAATTATTAATGAAAAAAAGCAGGCAAGAGATCAGTCACATAAGTCTCGGTAGCATTGTTGCCAACTTTCTCCCTCCCTCTTGAGCTGACCTGGGCATTTTACGGTCTGTGGGTCTCATCTGGCCCACGTCAGTGGGCATTGTCATCAGGGCTGGGGCAGTGACAAGAGGACGGGTTGGCAACCCTCCAGTCCCAGTTTCTCATGTGGCCCCTTGGGAACATTAACGGCCCACTCCTGCTCTTGAGGGATCCTTCCTAGGGGGTGGTGATAGTGGCCTGAGGTAGAGGAAGGAGAATGTCCAGCTAATTAGGCTTCTGCAGGGTTGTGGCCTGTTCGCCTCCCTCTTTTCAAGGATCATTTCCATAAGCAGTTACCTTTGCAATGCATCATCAAGCCCTGTGGAAGGAGTGCTCTTGTCATTTACTGAGACAAGAGCATTTAACCTCCCACTGAAGCATTGGTGCAGATAACCCATCCCAATAATCAGCCTCCAGAGCTGTTTGCAGGGATGTGTTTTCAGCTAAAGAAGGAATGTTCTGAAGGAGTGGGCGGGGAGGCATGAGGTGGGTTTCCTTTCCACTTCCGGCATAAGACTCTTCTAAATTACAAAAGGATGATCAGAATGTAAAGGACTACATGAAGAAAATAAACTTGAAGAACCAGGCTTGTCCCAACCTCTCCAATTGAAGGAATACCAGAGTTCCCTTTCAACTTGCTAAGAGCTGGCTTCCAGGTCACCAGTGCATGTCACTCTTGATATCTGATCATACATAAGGTTGACTCAGCCTTCCATCCTTCCAAGGTGGGTTAAAATGAGGACCCAAATTGTTGGGGGCAATATGCTGATACTGTAAGAGGGCTGTAAAACACTGTAAAGTGGTATATAAAAGCTATTGCTATATATCTTAAAAAAGCTACAAGGAAGCTGCGTAGAATATTTGCATCATTTGAACAATGACAGCACGGTGTCATGGTGTTCCTTGTCCCCCTGTAGATGCCTGGGCTTTCAACCAACATGCAAGGATGGGTGCAGGAGGAGCAATTGAGGACATGGATTTTTCAAGATGATGATGGTGACCTGAATCATAGCCATAATCATAATTTTCCTGCAGGACACAAGGATCTATCACCCTACCTCAGGAAACTAGATATAATAATCACTACTTTTAGCTTCTGGAATGTTAACATGAGGTACGCCCGGTTTACAGGTAGGAGATAAGGATTCCTATCAAAACATGAAACTCACCATATGTTAGATTGATTTAAGAGACATGGCCTTAATGCCATATTCCTTCACTAATCTTACATTTTAAGTCTCGTCCAAGGCTTTCACATTTCTTTCATTTTTTTTCATTCATTTGGTGTTTAAACATAATGATTCCATTAAAAGAGAATAAATACTTCACTGAAGAACTCCGTCTTCAAGCTTTCATTCTTATTTTGCAGAGAATTTTCTCCTGAGGAGTGTGTCTATGGTGATTCTCAGTCATCTGAGACATAAATTGTCTCAAAAGTGCTTTCTCAAAAGGCAACTGGACTTTCTTTGTTTTTCCTTGAAAATGTTTCACTCATCATCCAAGAAGCTTCATCGGTTCAACCAATGAAGCTTCTTGGATGAGAAGTGAAAAGCACCTTTGAGACAATCCTGAGGAATTTCTTTCCTTGGCTCTTCAAGTAAATAGTTTTTATTAGAGAAGATATCTTTGCATGATCAGGTATGTTGATGGAATAGGGAATCTGAAATAATCCTTCTCTCCCATCTGGTGCACACAATTTAACTTTGATCAAAACACTGAATTGATCATGTCTACAACCAAATCTATTTTCTAAATGAAATTTAAAAATACTAAGATAAAAAACTAATACAATAAAAAATACATGAAAAAGAGAAGGTAAAAGTGAATTATTTTTTTCCTCCCCTCAGTATTCCGTTTATAGCCAAGATAATAAAAGAAAAAAAATAGACCAATGATTTGACAATTGGGCACGAAAAGTATCAATGGCTGCTTTATCTGTCATTCCCACTTAACCAAGACTTCATACAAGGTTACCAAAACTGGAGGTAAAACCAATAGTGATCATTTATACTTCAAAAGCAAGAATGCATGGAGGCGAGTGTCTGGCTGCTCTTAGGTCCTTAACTATGATCTGGCAATTTTGATATCTTCAAGGGTGATGACAGTGAAAAACAAAAAAAAGCTTTTTCATCGAAGCTGAAAAGAAGACACTATCCAACTTTAAAATCTTACTTGATTTGCTCTTTCAAGATCTGTCATGATCATCTCAATTTCATCTGACCTAAAAAGAGATAGAAGAAAGGTCTATTAAGCTCTGAAGAATAAGTAAAAACATATCAAACACCAATCATCTGGACATTTTTTTATGTCTATAACATTTGTGCACAGCAATATTTTCTTCAAAAATCTTAAAAGTGATTCTTATTTCATATCAAAACATTATAAAATTATGACACTCAAGTTAGAACTTTCATTGTTTTAAAAATAACATCTGGGTCATCAAAACAATTAGCCAGAATAATTGGCATATTATTTAAATGTTAAAGTGAAAAAAAATAAATGCCACCATATATAATCTTGGATTTGGCAACTGGAGGATCACATGGTGTCAAGGAGACCAACATTACAAGGGAAATAATATAGACTTGTAAGAACGGTAGACTTCATGAGATTTGGGTAAAAATACAAAACCTCATGGATGAAGGTGTAAAACTTCATGAAATTACAACCATTTCTACTTTTAAAAAAATCTTTGTAGTCTGGGGCTGAATCATCACATAGGATCCAAAGATTCCACCCCATATATTGTCCAACTTGTAGTATACAGAGTGTATGCAATTGCTTGATAGGCTGAACTTACAGAAGAAAAACTCACTATGAAGTTAGAAGGGACTATTTATGCCAGTGTTTTTCAAACAACTTCAAGATGTGTGGACTTGAACTTGACACTGTGCTCCACATAGAAATCTAAACTAAAGCATCACCAACATATGATTTTGCTTGGACATGTCCAAGGAAGGGGAATTCACTACAGTCATTGGCAATTAGTTCCACTGTCCAATTGCTCTTATGTTTTGAAAGCTTTACTAAATCAATCAGAATCTGTATCATGAACTCCTCACCCTTCCCAGAAACTGATCCCAGGGCATGATGATCAAAGTCTCCCTATTATGACAACACTCATCTAGAGATGTGATCTGAGAGCTCAGTCAGGAATCCCACTGAGCACCTCATGCTAAAGGATTCATACTCTATCTTCTCAAGCAATATCTCTGGTCACCATCAAGATACTTATTACCATTGCTACCCCACCTGACCATAGCACCTCAGCTACTCTAGAATCTAGTTCCCAGAGACCAGTTATCTGGAAAAAAAACCATATCTCTATCCCCCCCCCCCCCCAATCAATAAGCTTCAGTAATGTACATCAGATCCAGCCATGAATGTTTATGAGCATGTCTTATTACAAAAAGATCAAATTTACCAATAGCTGATTTAGGTCATCAGTGAACTGGCCAGCAGGATCATGGAACAAGGCAGGTGGAGCAGAACCGAACTGTAGACACCCCGCAATCATCAGCCCAACATTTCTCATTATGTCACCCCTCCCACATAGCCCATAATCTACTCTCCCTCCCCATTCCGAGATTACACTTCCTGACATATGGAAGGCCAATAGTTCTTAATAAATCACCATTGTCCCAACCTCAAACTTTGCAAACAAGTACAATGCAGCAGCAATCTGTCATAAGTCACCCCAACTGTATACAGGTTTTCTCACCTATTTGTCTTCCTTCCACTTCTTTCACTTTCTCTAAATCCTTCGTACAATATAGTACTCAAAATCAAACTCAGTACTTGAAATGGGGGTCTGATCTATTTAGAATATAGTGTACTGTAACTATTATTCTATGTTTGTAAATGATAACTTCTAATAATATGCATTCTAAAACCGAATTTGCCTTTTTACCAGTTACTGAATATCATCCTGCTGATTGCTTTTCAGTTTATAATCAACCATAATCCCAAATTCTTTTCTAAAAGTATGATGATCATATTAGGTATCCCCCATTCTTTATATATGAGTATTTTGACTTTTTTTTCCTAATTGTCTTTGTCTTTTTATTAAATTTCATTCCATTTTGTCCATTTTCTTTATCTATTTTGACTTCTGCCAAGCAGATAAATATTGTATCCCACCGTTTATCCAAGGCATTAATAAAAACATTAAAGATCAGGCCAAGACTGAACCTCACAACATTCCAGTTGATACTCCAGGCAATTTATGGTGTCACTATACCACACTTCAAATAATAATTCGAACACTTCTAATAAAAGAGCCAATATAACCTTCAAAGGTTAAGAAAGTAAGTGGTATATAAAATCAGATTAAGGAAAGCAAAGTATTGCACAAGTCTGCTTAGTTTCAAAACCTAGCTAAAAAAGCAGGTAATATAGAAGAATCAGAAGTTCGAAGAGATAGGATGCATCTGTGCATCACCCAAATTTGAAAGGAGGGGGACACAAGAAATCAGAAGCCGAACCGCTAATGTATTGTTTTATATACAACATTTCTGCAAGTCTTTCCTCCAAAATGGTTAACAATAGATTAAAATCAATAAAATTAAATAATAATAATAAAAAAGAATAAGCAGGTAGAGGGAAAGCTTTGCTCTAATCTACCCTGTAAACTACATGGATTGTGGGAGGTCTGGTACAGTTTTAATCTTATCAGTTTCTCTGCAAACAGAGAGGCTACATCCAGGATGAACGCTAGACAAGATTCATGGATTTGATCAGACTTGTCTATACTCCCTGCACCCCCTCCCCCATTTATCCCAGTGCAACTTCTTTTCTGTAAAATACTCCCTTTGAACCTCATAAAGCACTGCAAACTTGCCAGTAGCTTCTAAAGAGATCCACATGTAATAAGCTGAACATCAGTGAGGTCATTAATGTTTTAGCCATAAATAAATAAATAAAAAAACCCTAAAGTAATGAATTGGTACAATGTTCCCTCCTTAGGCAAGCTTGAACAAAATTGAGGGAAATCTTCAAAAGGTAGGCTCTTTCCATTGCAAAAGCTGAAATGTTACATCAGGAGTTGACATTCGGCACCTGAAATCATTTCTTTCATTAAAATCTGTAGGAGCTATATTTATTGTCTGTAAAACTTTAATATAAAAGTATTTCTAGCTCATTTTTACAAGACTCGGTTCATTCCAGGTCTCAATCACTCTAGTTCTTAGTGATGATTAACCGACGGGACTAGCTGGTTTTCTCAGGCTTCACATCTTTGATTAGATTCCCTTTTGACAGAAAAGAGAAGTTATCTACATTTAGCAGGCACTTGTTTCAGCTTAATGCTCAGAGTGCATAGAAACTGCCTTGAAATAGATTAGAGGTCTTCAGATGAGTAAGGGGACATGAACAAAACAGGGACTCTGAATACTCCTAATTAAAAACTTCAGGCTTGAAGGATTTGACATTTGCAAGATTTAAAAAAATACATAATTTCCTACTACTACCTCACAACTGAAAGTAACTTTTCGTTATGTGTTAATTTATCTCGTAGCACGCCCAATTAGAATTTTCCCAAAGGGAATAGAAGAGTTTTTGCACCTAAAAGACAATAAGGCAGAGTACTTATTTTATAAATAATTCCCAGCACATTTTCATTGATCTTTATCAAGGGTAGAAGTTCAACCCTTAGAGACTGCCTTTCCTCCAGATGAGTCAGTATTAGACAAGCTGGGTTCAGACATATTTGCTTTTCTATCGGAATGTGACTGAATGGATTTCTTTAAACTGTTGAATAAATTCCCCTGATGAAGATCAGTGAATTAGGCCAGCCAATTCTTTATTAATATCTGAGGCTTATTGTCTTTGCAGCATTTCTTCTGATCTGTAATCCACAATTATCCCCTACTGAAATATATTATGCGGCATTTTGTATCTCTGCTTGAAATATACTGTATGGTCATTACAATTTCTCCATTTCTTGGTTAAAAGCAAAAATCCTTTTGCATGAACTTGGAAATCTTAACTCTTTTCAGTTGAGCTTACAGGTAAAATGTTTCTGTCATATTGCAGCCTGAATTTCCAAGTGTTCCTTATATAATGTAAGAATATTATTAAAATTGAACTGCTAGGAAATGGGGATTAAGCACAGAAGGGGGGGGGAAAGCAGGGGTGGAGGGGAAAACCCTAATGGCAAATACAATAGGAGTACTAGAATATATGAAATGTGGTTGACTCTGGAATAACAGATTTTCTTTTGAAGATTCTGCTTATTTGGCTTATTATAAAAGTCAACATCTGTATCAACAAAAATGCAGCAAAAATAATCTTGATTTCTTTTATCTGAGCGGCTGGTTTGCATATTTCAAAAGTTGTTACTGGCAATTAATATCATATATTTAAACTGAGAGCCAGTTTGGTGTATCAGACTAGAAACTTGAAGGCCGTGAGTTCTAGTTCTGCCTCAGGCACAAAGCTAGCTGGGTAACCTTGGCCAGTCACTTTCTCTCAGCCCTAGGAAGGCAGCAATGGCAAACCGCTTCTGAAAAATCTCACCAAGAAAACCACAGGAACTTGTCCAGGCAGTCTGTGAGAATAAGACACAGAATGAAAGAAAAACAAATACTCAGACTGGGGGTGGAGTGAAGGAAAATTGTGTGTACCTATGCCAAAGAAATGATTCTTACATTTTTGGTCCAGCAACATCTGGAAGGTCACTAATGCTTCTCATTCCTGATCTTTACCAACAGAATAATGCCTTCTTTCTATGAAATATAGGTTGATGTGTTCTTGTTTTTTAGTCTTCTTAAGAACAGATTCAGCAATATGTTCAAAAAGAAACACATCTTAATCCTCCCAATTCATTCTGGGGGATTTTAAATAGCATACTGAGTGGACAGAAAGTATGCCACGGAGTCAAAATGCTGTCTTGAGGTTGAAGGTAGTACACCTCATTATTTCAGCTTGAAAAACATGTTGGCTCGGAAGTTGAAACAGGGGTACTATGCAGCAGGTTCTGACAGATTCTGGAGAACCGGTAGTGGAAAATTTGAGTAGTTCGGGGAACCGGCAAATACCACCTCTGGCTGGCCCCAGAGTGGGGTGGGAATGGGGATTTTGCAATATCCTTCCCCTGCCACATTTACCAAGCCATGCCCACAGAACCAGTCGTAAAAAAAATTGAATTCCACCACTGGGTTGAAAGTGAAATTTAGATATTATAATGAGTAATCCAACTGACTTCTCCCCCTTAAATAGATA